TATAATAAGGTCCATCTTGGATCTCTAATGCAAAAAATTAGCCATGGCCACCTGTCATTGATCAGCATCTCCAATGTGTCAGTACACGTGGATCAGGTTGACTTGGTGTACTAATTTCCTCCGTCATTCATTGCACGTGCATGTGTATGTATAGACCAAGTTTAATTCATTTCTGTTTGTTTACAAGTACACCAGTGCAGAGAGTAGACATTCTTTAACCAATCCATCATCTCTCCTTGCTGTTTCTGAGATAGCACAACAGACTTGTACTCATTGACATCATGTGAAGGAAAGGAAAGTTCACTTTGCATATGCACTGTTAATCATTGTACACTTTGATATAGGTATTTATAAAGAATAATTTTCTTGGCCAAGCACTAACTCTTTAACAACCAAAAGATTTTAGGTAATTAAAATTTTTCTATATACCTGGAAAATGAAGTGTGCTGTTTGAACACATATTAATAAGCATGCTGTTTTATGTATCCATTGTATATGTACGTCCAACTTTCTACGTTTGGTATATCCTAATCAAGTCAGGTAATACTGGTATTCCCCCATGGTGCTTTAAGTGACCAGGTCAACAGGACCAGCTTTAGAAATTCAGGCACAAGTTGCTGAAAGCTTGGTTAGTGTAACCAGTGAATAAAGAAAAAAAATTTGACAGTGCCATAGAAAAAAACAAGGACTTTCAATTTCAAAATTGATGCTCAGAAATATGAATTGCACCGGAAAGTTTGGAAATGACAAAGAATTTACAGAATTATCTTTAATTTGTATTTGAAAACTTTTCACTAACCATAGGATAACTAGTAGTAGTATTGTAAGCAAGCTTTAGGAACTGGGGTCAGGTAACCAAATGTCAGAAATAAACAGGATATGGAAGGCCACGATTATTTAGTCAGTAAATATTGCTTTTTATTGCTTAAGTTTAAACAGATAAAAGGAAGATGTGTCTTCAAAATAGCTGACCTTCGATGTTGACCTTGATCATTATCTCTGTTTTTGAGATTTTCTCTTTAGGAAGAACAGGATTCTTTACAGCTTTTATCAGTTCTCAGATTTTCTAAAACAGTCAAGTTCAGTTGACAGATGGTTTAAAGAAGTCTGGATTCCTAGTTATTGTCGCTAAAATGATGTATTTTAAAATCTTAAGTAGCGTGTATTTCCGGAAATACTCATCACTTTAGCAGGTTTTCTATGTACTAATGTTAAGTGGATAGGATTATGTTAGTTTGGAGGAGAGGCATGGAGGAAGTTTGGGTTATATATAGCAGAGACGATAACAGCCTTAAGAATTTAAATAAATAAATGATTCCCATGAAACAGGAAGTGACCAAGGTCAAGTTTCTCATAATTGACCACTGTGGACAATAGATCCTCTTTATCATGCACTTCTTATTTCCGTTGGAGATCTAGAAGGCAAGTGTTCTGTACATTGTTAAAGCCTTAACCACTAATTATATACAGACCTAAAATTCACCCCAGGGTGGCAGAATACTGAATCTGCTGCCAATAAACTGTAGCTTGCCCTTCAGCTGTATATCTACGCTTTGGGAAAGAGATGTTAAACCTATTTTATTGTGAAGTAATAACCAATTAGTTTTATTGATATGATTCGCTCCAGGGATGGAGGACGTATTCAAAATATGTTGATATATATATATCATAATTCCCTTGAGCTGTAGTAATTTAATTAAGTTAATTAATTTGCAACAAGCAAACAAACAAACCAGAAAGATAAATTATAGAATCATTCCTAACATATATAGACATATTCATGTATGATAAGCTCATCTCACTGTGTCCTAGTGTGGTATACAGATCATTATGACACAGATGAAAAACCTGTTGGTTTATCATCATGTTACAACGGTATTTACTGTCAATGTTATTTCAACTACACCTAAATATTTTCTTGTTATTCCTTTATAATTAATTCAAAGATAAAAAAAAATATTAAAATGAAATTAATTGGGAAATTATCATGTTATCAATTACATCAGGTTTTAAGATGTGTTGACTGTATTTCCATTTAAATTTGGATTTGACTGTAAAACATATGTAAGATGTTTTTATTTGAGCTCTGCTGAGTTAAAGATAAATAAACTTATTTCATTTAATGGGTGTTAACAAAACCAAATCTACAGTGAGTAGTATACAGGCCTGTACTGGGAAAGTTGTCATAGTAGAACACTAACTTCTTGTGATCATAAATATTGAACAGTTACCTTTTTCAGCTGACACATACAATTTATACCAGCTACAAATTTCAGTAGTTTTATAGTTTAACAATGTTTTTTTTTTAGTTTTGAAATGCTTTGAGAAATTTCACCTGTATGATAGGTCTACATGTGTTATTTATAATCACTGAAGCTATTCTTTACCATGTATTGCCTATCATTCAAACTATAAATCTAATCGGACCACATCATAAATACTGCATGATACAAGTAACAACACTGTGGTAATGTCTAGATTACGTCTTATATACATGACATCAAACTTTTTAGGTGTGCTCAGTCCAACTCAAAATTCACTTAGCTACTCTTACAGAAGTTAAATTTAGGATTGCTACATAGAAATAGAACTAACAATTGTGACAAAGAAATATATGGAACTTCATTTTCGTGGCTGATGATTGAATGGTATTGGCAGTGAGGTTATAATATCTCGGCCAGTGGATATATGTAATGGACTAATGCAACATGACTATCCATGTTGAGATTACGGACCATCCTGTCAAGGCAAGACACTTGACCCCAACTGCTTTGGATGGCATCTAAACAATGGGCCTCTTACATGATGACCACTGAGGTAGCCACCAGTTACTTCAAGAAGTCCCAGACTCAAAATATACCGGACTGTTCACAGAATGATCTATAAACGCATGGCATAAGACATTGTAGAACTTGTTTAAAAAATATACATCTGTTTGACTTTACAGAGGTACATACGCACTATTGTGAGATCATGTAGATGAATGCAATATGTTTCATGTACATACAAAATGTATTTTGTGCCACCGCATGAAATTTGAAGGAGGTAACTTGTTGTGAGACGTCAAGTGTTTAATGTCCACAATTTGGAAATGACAACAAAGTGTTTCTTGTTCATATGTTATATTTACCCACTATTGCAAGGAAGGCTCAAAACTACATGGGCTTTTGATGGGATGATAAACACAGCAAACTTAATGAAATGCCAACAAATGAATATTCTTTATCTTGTAATAAGCCTATTCCTTTATCAAATTTTGTTGTCCTGGTGTCTGTCCACCTGTAAACAATATTTGCTATCAATATTTCTTGAGATTGATCTTTCTCAAATTGCATATGTAGGTCCCAAGTACTGCCCGTTTGATTTTGGGACTGATTAAAAAGAAAACAAGATGGCCGACAGGCAGCCATGTAGGAAGATGTGCCCATGTAATTTTGGGACTGATTAGAAAAAACAAAAAATGGACGAATGGTGGCCATCTTTGATTTTGACTTTGAAAGATTGTTATCACTATTTAATGAGAAGTACTGAATGGATCTTTTTTGAATCTCATATGTAAATTCCACTTAGTCCCTATTTGTGGCCATTTAATTTTTGGTCAGATCAAAATAACAAAATGGCCAACAGGTGACCTTCTTGGATTTTGATTTTAAAAGTTTGTTATTGTATTTCTTAAGAAGTACTGGATGGGTCTTTCTTAAATATCATACATAGACTCCCCTTTGTCCCTAGTTGTGCACATACGATTCTGGGTCTGATGTGAAAAAACAACGTTCGAAGGGCGGCCATCTTGGATTTTGACTTTGCAAGTTTGTTATCAATATTTGTTGAGGATTACTCCATAAATCTTTTTCAAATTTCCTGTATAGGTTCCTTTAGGTCCCTAGTTGTGCCTATGTGAGTTTGGGACTGATCAGAAAAACAAAATGGCCAGAGGCAGCCATCTTGGATTTTGTCTGGTAAAGATTGTTGTTTACTGTGTCTTAAGAAGTACTGAATGGATGTCTCTCAAATTTCATATGTACGTTCCCTTTGGTCTCTCCTTCTGTTTGTTTGAATTTTGGGACTGATCAGAAGAAAATAAATGACTTCAAGGTGGCCATTTTGGATTTGGCAGGGGAAGATTATCTTTGTTATTGCTGCAAAGGAATGTTCATATGTCTTATCGTTAAGATCAAAAACAGAGAAGGGAAGAGAAATGGAGGGAAAAGATCCAAATTTAAAGAGCATATAAAGATCAAACAATGTTGGGTGCCAAGATCCCTTAGGGGCAGGATGACCTATTGCAATTCCCTTTTGTCGGGAGCTGTTCTTCGTGCATCATAAACTTTTAACATTTTTAACTTCTTTTGGAAAACTGCTGAACTGAATTTCAATGATTACAAAAACTTTCTATGGCTAAAGGCGTAAATTGTATGGTCCCCAACCCCCAGGAGCCTGAGGGGTAGGACCAAAATGGGTTAAATTGATTGAAACTTCAAAAATCTTCTTTTCAAAACCCAGGTATAGTAGAATAATTTATTTATTTTCTTTCAGAAATAGTTAAAACTTGGTTAGAATTATTCATTTAAGATGATAGTTTGGTGAGATGCACATATTGTTCTTTACTGACCCCCAGGGACTGATTTGCGAGACTAAAAAATGGTCAAGTTGACTGAAATTTCAAAGATGTTCTACTGTTCTGTACTTTTCTATAAAGGAAAATTCAATTTTTGAGTGTAATTTCTTATAATTCAAACTTGATTAGAAGACTCAGCATGAGACAGCAGTTAATGTTATACACAATTAACATTTGTATAGTGTATACAATATAGATAAAGTTTATTATTTTTTTAAACAAAATCAATTCTATGCCATGTTACAAGAAGCATTGTGACTCAGGTGACTGTTAAGGCTCTTGGGCCTCTTCTAGTAACGTTATTGTAATCAAGTATAGAAATTCCACTAATGTATAGGTATATTATGCAAGATGTGTGATTTTTTTTCTATTTATTTTTAAGCCAACAGAAGTTATCCACGTCCAACCATTCGTATTTACACTGATACAGATGACAATTCCACACAGAGCTCTGAATCAGATCTGTGGGGTCCGGAGGCGACTGATGTCATCCTATCACCCGGACAGAACTTTACAATTGAGTGCCGAGGTGTTTATAATGTGACAATGAGATTAACAAGGAGTTATCATAAATTGGTATGCATAATAAAATATGTTTAGTTAGAAATTTACTTTGTTTAACTGATATCACACATTTTATTTTTGATTTTAACAGGACCTGCCACTTAAATAAATTGTTATTTCGTCGTCTGTTGATTGTTTTTTTTGCCAGAAGTGATTTCTTTACATTTTTATCTGTTTCTCAAGAAGCGATGTCATTGTTAATTGTTCATCATTCAGTGCAGTTCTTGCAAAACATTTAAATGTTGTTTTTTTTTCAAAGTGACTAAACCGAAAGTATGTATTATCACAAGCTCTGTGTTCATAATTGCTACTTAATCAAAAATCAGACTGGCAAAACCAAAAAACTAAAACTAAAACTTCCATCGAAAGATGGCAGAAATACTTTTACATCACTGAAATATTTAAGTTTCATTTATGAAAATCTTGTTAATTTTAAACCATTTTTTGTTTGGCATGAGAGTTATTTCCCTTTACAATATATTGATCTAGATTTGGATAGAAATATCACATGATCCCAGATAAATCCCAACATTGCCAGAATCCTAATGTTCATTGATGAGACAAAGCCTAGAAATAGGAAGAGTCAAGTAAACATAAAATCTGCAACCAACTTAAATCCCCATGTTGTTTGTTTTAGTTTTTTGTTTTACATCTTCTTCATTTTCTTTTCTATTGTAATACTCAAATTTAGTCAAGTTATTTAGAAGAATCCATCACAGTGAATTATAAAAAGAAATATTTCTGTCCAATAGAGAATGTCTTCATATTCAGTGCTGTTACTATCATTTATCACACCTAATTTTGAATGATTAAATGTTTTACCTTGAAATGTATATCTATCTTTGTCCTTACAGAATTCCCCATACCTAGGTATTAATGTTGCTGAGCAGCGACTATTACACAGCATCAACAATTATACAGCTAATTTTACTGTGAGCAATATCAATTATCTGTATACCGGGGAATACAGCTGTTTGTACGTCGACGAATTCCGAGACGATTTGTATAGTAGTATTTACATCTATGTATATGGTAAGTCATTCAAACTTTGTATTCATTCATAAATATCAAAAATTATATATGTTGTTAAGAAAAAAAATTGACACTTTGCTACAGAGATAAGACTTCAGAGTCCACTTAAGGGTATCAATTTAAGAGTTCACCCTCCTTTAAGGAATCAAATTTTAGGGTCCCTCCATTCTTTCATGGTACACATCTTAGGATCTTACCTTCTTCATAGTACAAATGTTAAGGTACAAATTTAAGGAGCACCTGTTAAGTTTAACGGAAAATTTTACAAATACAACAGTATGGGTCCAGCTGATAAGGTAAGGAAGAGGGATAGAGCTGTACTGATAATATCATGTGTTGTAGCCAAAATTTTGGCAGAAAACAAAATTGAAAAAAGGAAAGTGAAAATGATCCTTGTCATAAGTCTATTTCAAAACATTTTCTAATAAAAAATTTCCATCTTATTTCAGATCCGGACCATTTGCTCACACCTTTAAAAATGAAAAACAACATTTTTGTCAGTAAAGCAGTCTATCAATATCAGAGGTCATACATTCCATGCAGAGTTACGCACCCTGATGTCCAGGTGGAGCTGTATAAACTGTACCCAGATCAGCTGATTGAGACGGGAGACACAAATGCTGTTTACTATGATCCAGAACAGGGATTTGTCCTGGAGTTTCCTAATTCTTTCTTCACGGAAATGTTTGAATGTAGAGCAAACTACAGTAATTACACAGACACCAAACAAATACATCTCCGTTACCTGAGTAAGTAAAAAGCTGTCATACTAGCCATGATGATACTGTTTGCAGCCATGTAGCCTATCATCATAAGATGGTTATGGCAGTTAATAGTGGTTCTCATCAGAAACACAAACTAGCCCATAGGTGGCCATTTTGGATCTTGAAACTAGAAGTTTGTTATCGTTTAGACAAATACTTGATGGATCTTTCTCCAGTTTCTTACAAAGGTTCCCCCGACCTCTAGTTGTAACTGCTGGAGTGACAGGAGGTGGGGGGGAAGGCGAATTAGCGGTTATCTTAGATTCAATTTGCCCTACGTCCATGTTCCATCTGTCTGTAAACAGTTTTTGTTATTGCTATTTCTTGAGAAGAACTGGATGGATCTTTCTCAAATTCCATATGTAAGTTCCCCTTGGTTCCTAGTTGTGCCCATTTGATTATGGGACTGATCAGAAAAACAAAATGACTGGCAGATGGCCATCTTTGATTTTTTTCAATTAAGTTGTTATTGCTATTTCTTCAAAAGGACTTCCTGGATCACTCACAAATTTCGTATGTAGATTCCCCTGGTCTCTAGTTGTGCCCATTAAATAGTTTGGGACTGATCAAAAACTTTTTTTTTTTTTTAAAATGGCTGACACACAGCCAACTTGGATTTTGACTTGCAAGTTTGTTATCCCTATTTCTTGAGAACTACAGCATAGATCTTTCTCAAATTTCATATGTAGGTTCCAGTTGTGCCTGTTATTTTAGTACTGATCAGAAAAAGAAATGATCAGAATAAACAACATGGCTTCCAGGCAACTATCTTAGATTCGTCAGTAAAAGATAATCATCGCAATTTCTGCAAAGGAATGTTCAGATCTCTTATCACGAAGAGCAAAACCAGAGAAGAAAAGAAGGACAAAGATCCAACTTTCAAAGAGCAAATAAATATCAAACAATGGTGGGGGTTAAGATCCCTCTGGGATCTTTTGTTATGATTTAATCATTGTTATAACTATTTCTTTCTTATAACTTCTGATATTTCACTTGTAGGGTTTCTTGGGTCCCTAACTATTTATGTCATTTCAACTTTCAAACTGATCAGTAAAACAAAGTAGGAAAATGGCAGCAGATTTCGACAGTTACAGGTTTTTTGGATGCCCGTGTTTCCTTTTTCGTAGATACCAAAATGTCTCTGGGATTTCTCTTGATGTCTTCATGAATAATTATCTGAATTGAATGTAATGTGATGTGGACTTGATACCATATCTTATATCATAAAACAAAGATAAAAATCTAAACTACAGAAAAGATTCCATGTCAATTATGGCAGCGTATTTGTCATTGTATACAAATACATTCCATTTACTAAATTGGGTTTACACAGTTCTTGATATTTTTTTTCAAACTACAGAAAGGAGTCAATCAGCCCCAACACCTTTCCTGAAAGGATCTGACAAGGACTTCATCATAGAGAAGGGCTCTAATTTTACTCTACAGTGTGAGGTGAAGGTCGATCCAAACTATTCTGTCTTCATGAAATGGATTTACACATCAAAAGAGGTAGGAAGCAATACCTGTAATAATTTATATTAAATTGGTCTTGGATGTCGTGGTTGTGTCCTTGCGCTAAAGATCAAGAGATATACTATATAATTCCTACAGTACATGAATAAAACCCCATTCATACGACGCGATTTGCATACCTCAGTATATTTTACACATATGTAAATTTACTTACGTGTGCACTTTTTGTCGTATGGACTGATTTGCTCGTATGCAAATTCTGCACAGTTGAGATAATTAACTTTTGCATACATGTTGTCGCAAATTATTTGCTCCCGTGTGTAAATTTTGTCGTATGAACACCCAGCAAATTTACTTATGTAAGTATTTTGCTATGTGAATTGCATCAGTTTCTATTTTAAGCGTTGTTATGGTTGTGTGTGTTTTGGCAGGAAAAAATATAAGTCTGTAAACATGATGCCTTTCAAACGACCAAACGAATTTTCAATGGTCATTCGTGCTCTACTTTAACGATAATTGAAAGTAGACTGAGTTTTTGTAAGGGTAGATGTATGGCTTCAAAAGCCAAAACTTCAAAGGATACACTGGGTCGCCAAGAACTACTGGCATAGTACTTTCCCAAAATGTCTTTCGCCACTCTGGAAACAAGGAGCCATTATCTCCTTTGAGATAAATTTCCGAATTTGCATCGTGGACCCTTCCTGGTCAACCTATATTTATGACTCTAAAGATATAGCTGTGGTTGCAAACACCCTGCAAAATCAAGGAGTAAAACCCTTTCCAGTTCAAGTAGTCTCCATGGGAATGCTTAGGAGCTATGATGGGAATATGCGTGCCGGGGCCAAAGCATTTTCCAATTTTTCACAAAATTTTAAGAATTTTTCTTTATTTCATTTGAAAATTCTCATACCAATCTTTGTCCTTAAAGTCATTAAGTACGGTTCTGTCATACCATTCAGTGGATAAAACTTTCCTTCTAGTTTCTTTGATTTGGGAACATCCAATAGCTAGTCCTATGCCCAAATAGCAAGGGAATACCCTTTTCTGTGAAAATTCACCAGTCTGAATCGGTCCATCTCCTTATTTCAAATAGCAATTTGGGGATTTACTGACGGTACATAAATCTCTTATGAACGCATAGCAAATTAACTTTTACTTATGTGTGTAAATTTACGCATGTAAATTTGCATATATAAGCAAATTTTCGTCGTATGAATGGGGTATAAGGTACATTTGATAAAATAGCGATGTAAATGATTTTTGTTTAGTAGACTTGTTCTATAGAACATTTCAATAAACATTTGAAAGACAGTGATCATGTTGCTATTGATGAAGAAACAAAGAGGAAATTAAAGTAACACTAATACTGGTACATATATGACAGACTGGAACCCTGTCTTTAAGATTTGTGATCAGAAAGATTTTTAGTTTTACACATGTTTTCATCGTGATTTTAAATCTTTTGTATTTAAAAAAAATGTTGTCAAAATGTAGGCTACAGAGCTGTGATATTGATTTTTTCATTTGAAGTTGTGACTCATAATATTCCTTTTCAGAAAAAAGAATGATTAGCAACATTTGTAGAAAAAATGTTAACTGACACTTCTATATTATACTATTTTAGATTAGGTTTTAACCTTAATGGTTTCATTCACACATTTAAATTTCCATCATGTTTTATTAATGATTTGTTGTTTTGATATTGGAGCATGAAACTATTAATTCCATCCTTCAAATCCCTCAATTTATTCTATATTCTTTTCCCACTCTACCTCCAGTACATATATTAATGAAAGACAACATTCCATGGCTGTCCTTTGCTTTTATCATAAAAGACCCCAAAGATCCAAAATGCTTGTACCTGTCTGTGGCTTTTAAGTTCCCCATTCATTTTCCTGCTGTAATGTCATCCAAGTTGTATTTTGTCCCAATGTTGTGTTTTTGTGCATCTCTGTCACGAGACTGTCAAGGTCAACCAAGGTCAACTAAAGCTGAAATTTTATGAACAAACTCCTATGACAGGAAAATAGTGTAATGCTGAATAAATACATGAACCCTCCATGAATATACGATTTAAAACTTATTGGATAATGTTTATATCACAGAATTCTACAGAGTTACTCCCCTTAAAATAACAGGAACAGGATGTATTTTCCTTGGATATACAAGATATAATGTATTGTTTGGGTGGAATCGCCCTTACCTTTGTCTGTTGAGATACAATAAGTTGATCATCCTTTTTGGATATATGGTTTTCAATAAAACTTTTTGTTCTTTCAGATCATGAATCTTAAAGAAAACTATAAACAATTTTTTTTTCTCCCGTTACAAAAAAAAAGATATCTTGGCAAAATTACCTATATAATAAAAGAATGTCTTAGTAAACATTCCTACAAAAACAAAACAACAGACAAATTAAAAATCCTCCCAAAAAATTTTTTAAAAAAAAAAGAAAAGAAATGCAGAATTCCCAAAATTTTAAAACCTGTTTTTTTTTTTTTAAATAATGATAGGGCACCTGCTTTGTTATTTGAGAACCATGTTGTGAGGATATAGATGGAAAGCTCCAGAGATGCATGTCTGTTGTAGATCAATAACCTTATGTTAGTAGATATTTGTATAAACCACTCTTGTTTGTGTAGACATCAGCGAAAATTGATCTATCTCCAGAATTGTCAACCGGCAATATTGACACTGAGGTATGTAAATTGTAAACTATGCATGTTGTATAAGTAATTGACAATCTGTTTGGTTTTGGGTTTTAAATAAAGTTAATTAACAGCATGTGGGTGTTTGTAAAAAAAAAATCACAAATACCTAATTTGATTAATTAATACATCTGATAGAAACAGTAATAATTTGATTGAGTTTTTAGCTCATTTAGGAAAGCTTTGCTGCGTGGATGCTAGATTTTATTTAATTCACTTCATCTAAATCACTGATATTCTTTTATTTCTAATATTGAAAAATTGATAAATGTTTGTTGCAATCATCTTTCTGTGTTGAGATTTTAAATTATTTTTGTGATAAGAGAAGTCTTCACATTACTCTAGAATATTATGATAAGATTAATTATAAACTTTAATGTGTTAACATAGCTTGTGGTAATTATTATCACTGGAAAATCAAAGTAAGGTAAAAGTGTGACATAAAAATTAATTCAGTTTTAATTAGAATGCTTTGATTGCTTCTAGGCTTGTATGTATAGGTTTACTGTAAATAATAGAAGCGATGATACATTGAAAATAGCTGTAATTATCTAGTAATGTATTCTGTGTATGTGTATATGTAGTTAAAATTAGACTTGTAAGTTCTACTCCTCAATGATCCTGTATTGAAGTGTAATGCAGAGGAGTGGAAATTTAAAGTACAGTATTAATTATATTTGTAGTGTATTGTTACTATGGCAAGTTTTGCTCATACGTAAAATATGAAAGTGGCCATCTTGAGTTTTTTTTTCTGTAGAAGGAATTTACCTTTAATGTGATCAGTAGTAATATGGACAGGTAAGATAAAAGTCCTAGGCGTGATCTTCAGTGGCAGCTTAGTTCATGCTTTGCTGTTGTATTTGGTGCCTAAGACCTCTCTCAGTGTAATCTATTGGAGGTTAGGAGAATGAGAGGCTTAGTTAAAGTTTAGGAAGGACGTGGTTTGATGTGATGTTCAGGGTTGAACACATTTATTGATGTGGTGTTCAGGGGTGGTGTTCAGGGTTGAACACATTTATTGATGTGGTGTTCAGGGTTGACCACATTTATAAGGTGGGCTGGGGGAAGAGGTAGGGGTAATGTGGCCCAGTGTAATGTGGCCAGGTGGTCAGGGTTGACCACATTTATAAGGTGGGTGGGGGGAGGAGGTAGGATGAATGTGGCCAGTTTAGATAGTACATATTAGAGTTGCATTCTAGCTTTTGGGCTAGGAAAGATGTTTCTTTAGTTTGATCCGTAGGGCTGTAAGCTGTAAGCTTGGGATCACTGGTTTGATCCCCAGCAGCACATGAATTGTTTTCCTGTTACACTACAGACAACAGACAGAATGCCGATACTGATTGTACGATGTTATAAACCTATTATGATGGATATTAAGAATTATTTGTTTTAATGCGTTGTAAATGTTAGAAAATGTGACCTTTACCAATTAGGGTTTTTACTTCAGTAAATCTGTATTTTTTTATCTGCTCTCTTGTAAAAATGCTAGGGTAATATACTTCAGTAAATCTGTATTTTTTTTATCTGCTCTCTTGTAAAAATGCTAGGGTAATTTACTTCAGTAAATCTGTATTTTTTTTATCTGACTCTTGTGAAAATGCTAGGGTAATTTACTTCAGTAAATCTGTATTTTTTTTATCTGGTAAAAATGCTAGGGTAATTTACTTCAGGAGGGTAATTTACTTCAGTAAATCTGGATTAATGTGGGTAATTTACTTCAGTAAATCTGTATTTTTTTTATCAGTTCTGTATTTTTTTATCTGTCTCTTGTAAAAATGCTAGGGTTTTACTTCAGTAAATCTGTATTTTTTTTATCTGTCTGCTAGGGTAATTTACTCTTTTTTTATCTGAAAAATGCTAGGGTAATTTACTTCAGTAAATCTGTATTTTTTTTATCTGACTCTTGTAAAAATGCTAGGGTAATTTACTTCAGTAAATCTGGGCTGTAAGCTAGGGTAATTTACTTCAGTAAATCTGTATTTTTTTATCTGCTCTCTTGTAAAAATGGGATCACTTCAGTAAATCTGTATTTTTTTTCCCCAGCAGCAAATCTTTTTTTTTATCTGCTCTCTTGTAAAAATGCATGATTTTTTTAATCTGTCTCTGTAAAAATGCTAGGGTAATTTACTTCATTCTGTTTTTTTTATCCTGTTACACTAGTAAATCTGTATTTTTTTTATCAGACTAGGGTAATGCTTCAGTAAATCTGTATTTTTTTTATCTGATTGTAAAAAACCTATTTTGATGGATATTAAGAATTATTTGTTTTAATGCGTTGTAAATGTTTTTTTTAGAAAATGTGTTTACCAATTAGGGTTTTTAGTAAATCTTATTTTTTTATCAGTAAATCTGTATTTTTTTAATCTGACTCTTGTAAAAATGCTAGGGTAATTTACTTCAGTAAATCTGTATTTTTTGATCTGACTCTTGTAAAAATGCTAGGGTAATTTACTTCAGTAAATCTGTATTTTTTTATCTGCTCTCTTGTAAAAATGCTAGGGTAATTTACTTCAGTAAATCTGTATTTTTTTTATCTGACTCTTGTAAAAATGCTAGGGTAATTTACTTCAGTATTTTTTTATCTGACTAAATCTGTATTTTTTTATCTGCTCTCTTGTAAAAATGCTAGGGTAATTTACTTCAGTAAATCTGTATTTTTTTTATCTGACTCTTGTAAAAATGCTAGGGTAATTTACTTCAGTAAATCTGTATTTTTTTATCTGCTCTCTTGTAAAAATGCTAGGGTAATTTACTTCAGTAAATCTGTATTTTTTTATCTGACTCTTGTAAAAATGCTAGGGTAATTTACTTCAGTAAATCTGTATTTTTTTATCTGACTCTTGTAAAAATGCTAGGGTAATTTACTTCAGTAAATCTGTATTTTTTTATCTGACTCTTGTAAAAATGCTAGGGTAATTTACTTCAGTAAATCTGTATTTTTTGATCTGACTCTTGTAAAAATGTTAAGGTGTTTTCATGGTGATATACCTATGTTACTTAGACCCAGACAAATGTTTTATGAATTACTGTACTTTTCCATACATTACATTTAGCTGTAAATGCTGGTAAAAAAGTGATTTTCTCTATAAAAATTGTCAGTATATTGAACATTAATTCACAATTGTCATGGATACCAAATATTTCTTTAAAAATAAAATTTCTACTTTAATACAAAAAAAAACATCGTAGGTTATTGTTGTAGAATTGGAAATAGAAATGTAATCTTTTAGAATGCATGTATGTTGTACAAACGGAAGATTGGTATACTAATACAAACAAACCTGACCAGACAGGAGTGTCTCCCCCATCTCTACCCCTCAAGAATGACACACCCTTACCTACTGTCCATGATTTCCTTTGTAGATGGGCATTGCTGTTGAAATTGCAGCCTCTACGCCGGTAAGCATGCATCATGCATGTATAGCCTGGTTGTATGCCTATATGGGGGCTACTCAGTTCTCCAAGATATTCTTTTTTACCTGCATGTAACACTGGTGATGTGATATATTGCACAATTTTATATTTTGTATGAATGTATTTCTATTTTATCCATTTTCCTTACACCTGTATTAAAACAGATTTAGAACATTAAAATGATTTTTTTAGGTTATTATTTTAATTTTGTTTTTCAGCTTCTGTTTTTTAGTTTGTTTGCTTTATGATGCTGCATCCTGATACTATTGATCTCTCTCTCTCTCTCTCTCTCTCTCTCTCTCTCTCTCTCTCTCTCTCTCTCTCTCACACACACACAGCATATGAGAATTGATCTCAATCTCTGCCAGAAGGTTTTTCCAATTTCCAAGGTTTTTCCAAAAGAAATTCTTTCTGATGGACACTTGATTTTATGGATAATTATAGCTCAATAAATCTACTTCTACACACCTCATGGACATACCAATTCATATATTAAGAACACCCGGGAAATCAATGAAAATAAAAAACCCACAAAAACTAATGATTTTACGGTATATTTGTTTGATGAGGCAAGTGATGATCAAACCCATGGACTTGTTGAGTGAAATATCTTTATAGAAGCTAATGCTTCATATATAATATTCTTCTGTACAGGAAATATTGATAAAAGTGCAGTAGATATTTTGTCTGACAGTAGTAATCTGTATGTTCTTTACCTCATACACAGATTTGAATTGAAGATGACATCGTTACAGAATCCTCACATTTATATGGTTTCTGTCAGATGTAGGTGATGAATGGTGATTACTCGTATACATCTGTTGTTGTTTTGCTTGTGTCAGCCATAGTTGCTGTGAGTTTTGCATGTATTATTTGGTTTTGCTGTGAAATTTTCTTTTCTTATTATTTTGCTCTGTTTTATTAGCATAAATCAATAAAAATGTTGATAATTCTATCCAAAAACCAGGAGTATACAAACATTGAAACAGAATTCATAATGGATGACTAGAATGCTTTTGATTGTCATCGATATTCCAGGCAGTACAAGATTTATTTAAGAATATCTTCCACTTATTAAGACTCCAACAGGAAGATTGGTTTCTTATCATTGATCCATTCAGTAATATACAAACCAGATCTGCTGCTGGCCACTAAGAAAATTTGATAGACTTAATTGATATCCTGCAACAATATTTTTGAAATGTTTTGATGATATATCACTTTATTTTCATTAGATAAATAAAACTTCGACATGGAGACATGATGAACAACCTACTATTGTCTTCCTGATGTTACTAATGACAGTACCTTTGTGTCATGTAATCTTCCTCTAAATACTTAAAGCTTCCAACAATGTTTAAGTTGTTCAATTTACTTGATTCCAGTACATGCAAGTTTGTTAATAGGTATGACCTTGACCCACTTTCAAGGTTGCACAGCCAAATGTTTTAAAATCTTTAAACAACTTCTGATAAATGAAAAAGCACAAGGTTAGGATATATAGCTATCAGCATGCTGGAATGAAGAGCTACAAAGTCAGTTCAAATGAATGACCTGAATCTTCTTACAAGGTCAGTGAGGTCAAAATATTTGAAAATATTCAAGCAACTTCATTTTTATTTTGATCCTGAAGTTTGTTATTTTGCTTTTAATTTTAGATGAACCTGAAAGTAACTAAGATAAACTTATTCAGTCATGTAACTGTCCAATAGAAATTACCAAATTATGTTCTTTCATTGTCTTATGATAGGCCCATCCCCCTACTGGTTCAAAAGCTTTGTGACAGGCTCTAAACTTACTGGCAGATGAAATGATATACATGTACAAAGTCGTAATTTCATCACACTTTTATTGTTTTATGAATGTAATGTCACGTACTGTAGCATCTTGCTGTTTTATCAGTATATCCAATTTGTTAATATTCAACTGTATCGACTAGTTGGATGGATATATTTTTCAGTGTTTTAAGTTTATTTGATATGCAGCATAAAATGTGTATAATCCTGACCTCAGTGACTTTTCTGTACTTGAATTCTGTCTTTCTGTGATGAACATTTTAAATGTAGTCTTAAAGAGATAGTCAGTCCAAGTTTCAAAATTTCTGGCTGTTCTTTTAAGAACTCATTCTAATGCCTTTTCAAACTATTGTTAGTATCAAAATACCTCACCGGTGGTCAGTTTGGACTGGCGAAATGGGAGGGAATACTCTCGGCCAAAACCAACTAGATATAGGACATTGCGAAAATTCTTGACTGAAAGGTCACTAGATCATAGATTTTATGCAGAGTATTACATAAATATACAAGTTTGTATGCCATTCAATAAATTTTCTGCTGGAGCTGCAATTTTTATTACTTCATTAAGCTTATTTTCTGTTGATATTTCAATTTACATAAACATTTCATTCTTATAATGGTGTAAACCTGTTATGGTGAAATCAGGGTCATACAAATGTTTGAAAATCAATCTAGTTATATCTATAAAGAATTTCCACAAATGAACTACCACTGAGGTGTACAATGTCTATACATAAGTCGATGAAGATGTGTTTTTACATATATATATATCATTAATTCATGATCTTAAGTAAGATTGCTTCCTAGGGATATGTGACAATCCTCTGGAGACAGTTATATGTGGCATTCCTCTGGAGACAGTTATATGTGACATTCCTCTGGTTACAGTTATATGTGACATTCCTCTGGAGACAGTTATATGTGACATTCCTCTGGAGACAGTTATATGTGACATTCCTCTGGAGACAGTTATATGTGACACTCCTCTGGAGACAGTTATATGTGACATTCCTCAGTTATATGTGACATTCCTCTGGAGACAAGTATATGTGACATTCCTCTGGAGACAGTTATATGTGACATTCCTGTGGAGACAGTTATATGTGACAATTCTCTGGAGACAGTTATATGTGACATTCCTGTGGAGACAGTTATATGTGACATTCCTGTGGAGACAGTTATATGTGAGACTCCGCTGGAGACAGTTATATGTGACATTCCTCTGGAGACAGCTATATGTGACATTCCTGTGGAGACAGTTTTATGTGACATTCCTCTGGAGACAGTTATATGTGACATCCCTCTGGAGACAGTTTTTATGTGACATTCCTCTGGAGACAAGTGTATGTGACATTCCTCTGGAGACAGTTATATGTGACATTCTTCTGGAGACAGTTATATGTGACATTTCTCTGGAGACAGTTATATGTGACATTTCTCTGGAGACAGTTATATGTGACATTTCTCTGGAGACAGTTATATGTGACATTCCTCTGGAGACAGTTTTTATGTGACATTCCTCTGGAGACAGTTATATGTGACATTCCTGTGGAGACAGTTATATGTGACATTCCTCTGGAGACAGTTATATGTGACATTCCTCTGGAGACAGTTATATGTGACATTCCTGTGGAGACAGTTATATGTGACATTTCTCTGGAGACAGTTATATGTGACATTCCTCTGGAGACAGTTTTTATGTGACACTCCTCTGGAGACAGTTATATGTGACATTCCTCTGGAGACAGTTATATGTGACATTCCTCTGGAGACAGCTATATGTGACATTCCTGTGGAGACAGTTTTATGTGACATTCCTCTGGAGACAGTTATATGTGACATCCCTCTGGAGACAGTTTTTATGTGACATTCCTCTGGAGACAAGTTATGTGACATTCCTCTGTTATATGTGACATTCCTCAGTTATATGTGAGACAGTTATATGTGACATTCCTCTGGAGACAGTTATATGTGACATCCCTCTGGAGACAGTTTTTATGTGACATTCTTCTGGAGACAGTTATATGTGACATTCCTCTGGAGACAGTTATATGTGACATTCCTCTGGAGACAGTTTTTATGTGACATTCCTCTGGAGACAGTTATATGTGACATTCCTCTGGAGACAGTTTTTATGTGACACTCCTCTGGAGACAGTTATATGTGACATTCCTGTGGAGACAGCTATATGTGACATTCCTCTGGAGACAGTTTTTTGTGGCATTCCTCTGGAGACAGTTATATGTGACATTCCTCTGGAGACAGTTATATGTGACATTCCTCTGGAGACAGTTTTTATGTGACATTCCTCTGGAGACAGTTATATGTGACATTCCTCTGGAGACAGTTATATGTGACACTCCTCTGGAGACAGTTATATGTGACACTCCTCTGGAGACAGTTATATGTGACATTCCTCTGGAGACAAGTATATGTGACATTCCTCTGGAGACAGCTATATGTGACATTCCTCTGGAGACAGCTATATGTGACATTCCTCTGGAGACAGTTATATGTGACATTCCTCTGGAGACAGTTATATGTGACAATCCTCTGGAGACAGTTATATGTGACATTCCTCTGGAGACAGCTATATGTGACATTCCTGTGGAGACAGTTATATGTGACAATCCTCTGGAGACAGTTTTTTGTGGCATTCCTCTGGAGACAGTTTTTATGTGACATTCCTCTGGTTACAGTTATATGTGACATTCCTCTGGTTACAGTTATATGTGACATTCCTCTGGAGACAGTTATATGTGACACTCCTCTGGAGACAGTTATATGTGACATTCCTCTGGAGACAGCTATATGTGACATTCCTCTGGAGACAGTTTTTTGTGGCATTCCTCTGGAGACAGTTTTTATGTGACATTCCTCTGGCGACAGTTATATGTGACACTCCTCTGGAGACAGTTATATGTGACATTCCTGTGGAGACAGTTATATGTGACATTCCTGTGGAGACAGTTATATGTGACACTCCTCTGGAGACAGTTATATGTGACATTCCTCTGGAGACAAGTATATGTGACATTCCTCTGGAGACAGTTATATGTGACATTCCTCTGGAGACTACCAAATAATGTATATATTTGTCTTAGATTTAGACATAACTGTCAAGTCTCTGGTTTTGTGACTGGAATCTCCAGTTTATTTCAGTAAAATTTTATTTTCAAAACTGGTGTTCCATGTAAGTATTGTGTTATATTCATAAACTGTGTTGATTTCAATAAGGCTGTAATTATAATGTAACATGATGGAGATTTCCAGTTTACGAGTTTTCACTGTTATGTGTGCAGTGCCCAACGCTATGTTGTTAACATTTTTTTTTTTATATTTTACGTATCAAAAATGTATAAAAACTGATGAAATAATGTACCCAATTTAGGCTGTCACTTGAGACAGTTTTATGGAACTTTTGAGACCCTTGAGCCTCTTGTTTGTAAACATCATTCAATTTGTTTATTTCTGATCAGGTTTCAGATCGAGTAAGATACACCAAACCTACCGTGAAGCACATGAGTGATAAATATGACTATGACATCATCAGGACACTGTTAATTGTGCGTAATGTCCAACTGAAGGATGAAGGCGTGTACACCTGTCAAATTACCACACATGATAAACAACAGAAGTCTGTATCCAAAGACATCTACATTCGAGGTTTGTACTTTTAAAATTTACAATGATCTTACCATACCTCATAATACAGCAAAAACCGTGGTATTATATATAACTCTCATGATCATGATCAGCTTTGGTTCATATTCATACCACAGTATCATATCTCCAAAGTCTACACCTCATTTGAATCGTCATTGGTCAGGGTTAAAGGTTAAAGGTTATCCTTGACCACTATTGAATGAAAAGCTTGTTTTCATGGACCTCTGAACAGATTTTGAGTAAAAATAAAGAGGGGGGGGGGGGGGGGGTAATATCTATGTAAGACCCCGATCTCTTGATTTCCTTGTTTTTCATTTTGAAACAGAAATGATTTGCTGTAATACTTTTGTGATGTTGTGTTTTTAGAGCCATATTGCCATGTTAATGTGCCAGGAGAAAAGAATGTTTTAGAAGTAGAAGAGTATGTAAAGTATGTACGACTGGCCTTCACCATCAATTGTCATCCTGATGACTTTACAGTCAAGTGGTACAAAGAGGACAAAGTTCTTCCTTTCAATATCGAGTAGGTTGATTCAAGGGAAGTCATTTTGACAACTCCCATTGTTTACCAGTGGTATAAATGTGTTATAATGTAAAAGTTATACTTGACATGATCTCTTTGCTATTTTCAAGAATTAAATGAAACCTTGAAAGAAAATGATAAAAAATTCATTCATGAAAAATGTATCTCTTGTGAATTTAAGTTTTGTTAAAATTTGAACCATCAAGAAAAGACGATCTAAACGGAATGTCAAAATATCAACAATTTTAAACTCAAACATTTGAAATAGAATAAGATTGTTTCAAAGTTAAAGTAAATTGTTAACTTAAATCTTTGAATACATTACTTGTATATATGTGAACACATATTTGTGATATTATTTTCCAAAGCTTAAATACAATTTCTGAGCTATACTGCGAGAATATGACAGACTGAGTGTCCAATACTTTTAGACAGATTGCATATTAACTTGAAGTAAATTGGAATGTCCAAATATTATATGAGGAAAAACATGAAGGAAACAGGGGATGCGAGAGGGAGGAGAGATTATTTTCTAGTCTCCTCAGCTGTCAAACAAAACAAAACAAAAACAAAAAACTGACCTTATGTACAAAATTTTGTAATTTCCTGCACATTCTAGATTTGCAAACTATTTGTTTATAGCAGTTTTTTGTTTATTTTTAGAATTGCTGAAGATGCCACCCAATACATTATTACAAATGTGACAAAGAGTGATGCTGGAGTGTATAAAGTTGTGATAGAGAATAGTTACCTGTCTGAATCAGCTCAAGTTGAACTGGTAGTTCTATGTGAGTATTTAAACTATCGTATTATTTATCTTGCAGTAGGCTCAGAGGCAAGCAAAACATCTCAAAGTAAAGGGGTGGGCTTATTATTGGACACCAGGGACAATTATATAACTTTTTGTTGAAAGTAAGGAGGTGGGCTTGTCCAAGGACCACAGGAACCAATACATTACTTCTTACTCAAAGTAAGAATGGGCTTATTACAGGAACCCAGGGGATCATATATAACTTCTAGCTCAAAGTTAGGGGTTGGCTTATTACAGTACCTACCAAACATAACCTGACAAAGGGGGCTTACCAAATACATAACTTCTAGCTCAAAGGTAGGGATGGGATTATTACAGGACCTATGGTAACCAAACATAACTTCTGACTCAAAGTAAGAATGGGCTTATTACAGTACCCCAGGGACCAATACATAACTTCTAGCTCAAAGGTAGGGATGGGCTTATTACAGGACCTATGGTAACCATACATAACTTCTAACTCAAAGTGAGGGGATAGGCTTATTACAAGACCCCAGGGGCAAACACATTACTCATAGCTCAAAGTAAGTGTAGCTTTTTACAAAACCCCAGGGGTTAACACATTACTTACTCAATGTAAAGGGTTGGACTTATTACATGCCACAAGGGGTCAACACATTACCTCTCAAAGTAAGGGAGTGGGCTTATCACAGGACAATGATAGATCATTTGTTGGCATTAATACTGAAAGTATATTAGATGTATTTTGGCTTATTACCAGGCATGAGCTTATTGTAATATAAACTCTAATATGATATCTGTAAGGACGCTAGTTCTTGTGTGCTGGCTAGAATTCTCAATTGTGCTATATATAAAAGGTCCTGAATTATCCTCCAATATAACTAGATAACAAGAGGTATTTGTGAAGTTAATCCAGTCTTGTTCCATTTTCATATGGGACAAAACTGGATTAACCTGGCAAGCAGCATGCTTATGATTGAAACAATAAGTGTAAATGAAGATAAGTTTTCGTCAGTGTATTGTAGTGATATTAAGATCACAAAAACATAGTAATAATAATATTATTAGAATCATTATGCAGTCATGGAAAATTCCGGGAAACAGAATTACTAGGACTATACTAATGGTGAAATCAGGCTTAGAAAAATGGTGTTGTTTACATGCAATAAACACTAGAATCTGTTAACGATTTTATCTACATTGACATTTATTGTGAGCAAAAAAATCACATGCCCTGGTAGATATTTAAAAAAACATTGGATTAGAAATTCAGATTCGAGTTTATCAAAAGTATGATCTTAATATTTTAATCACCAAAACAGGATTTTTTTTTTTCGCTTTTCACACATCGAAATTTAGAGGAAAAAACTACTGTTACAAGGTCTTTGTTTACAGATAAGCCTGTGGTATCTATAACAGTGAAGCCTCCATCCAGCCAGTATCTAGTACTAGGAGATACTTACAATGTATTCTGTAATCCTGTGTCTGTCCCTGCAACCCAGACCATAATATGGGAGTGGAAATCTCTTCAGGACGGCTGGGACACTCTAGCTTACTATAATGACTCGGGTATCATTACTGACCACCGCAGTTCACTACAGCTTGTCGCAACAGAGGCCGGAGTTGTCCAATGTAAAGCATCCAACAGACTAGGGAGCAGTTCAGCTCAAATTGAGTTCAAAATCTCAGGTTTGTTTTAAACATTTCTCTCTTGTTGTACCTGCATACCATAATTGTGTAATACAGTAGAACCACATAATTCCAGACACATTAGTTCGGAGTCAGATTAGTCCAGATTAGTTTGACCTTCGTTACCTCCAAATGACCTTTGTCACATCTATGATCAGTCTTTATGCCACCATTGTGAACTTTGTCGCCTTTAACCTCTGTGTGACCTCTGTTTGACCATTGTCTCTAGTACTCTCTTTGTCAAAGATATGACCTTCATCATAAGCATTGTCATGATTGTCTTATGTTAGCTGTCAAAACCTTTGTATGTCTCCAATCATCTGATCATTTGTCCTTACATGACCTTTGCCACAAGTGTATGTGAGTCATCAAAGTCTTTATATCTCTCCCACGCCTGATAAGTTACTGGACATTGACCTTTCCTTGACCTTTTATTCATCTTGATCTGTTATTCAACAGAGGTAGCTGATGGACTAGGGATAGTGATGCCCCCAGAAGTCATTGAGGAGGACTCAGTTCGAATCTCTTGTTATGCCAGTTTGTGGGAGTACCAGTCAGTCAGTCTGTACTACAGGAGGTTTGGCAACTCCACTCAGACCAAGCTGACAACAACAAACACCACTTACGTGTCCTACAATAGGTGAGCTATTGTTTGATGATGTATTTTTTAAGGGAGCATGTTACCTGAAGCATTTTGTCTTTGTTTTGGGTTAGAGTTACCTCCCTGTATAAGTTATTACCATTGTTACTTCCAAATTCCCTGTGTTTGCATGTCATATATATTTGATTTTATTCTTGGGTACCTTTTATACATGTCATCAACATTTTTGAACATGTAGTCAGTTATTTTTCAGGTATTTTCATTTCATAAAAACTTCTGTATTCTAAACAAGTTTTTTGATAAGGATGAACTTGTTTGTATCACACTTTGATTTTGATTACAGAACTGATTATTCCTCAGTGGTTCATGTTGACTTTGACCAGATAGAGAAGTCAGATGAAGGTAGCTACGTTTGTGTCGCTGTACTGATATCCTCTGCCAAAAATGTTTCTACAAACAATGCAACTGTGGAGAAGAGATTGGATGTTCGAGGTAGGATATTCATACAAATATTAGATTTTTACTTCACACTCCGACCAAATTAACATAATTTTATATTCCTTGATGAAAGGAAATTCTTTAACATAATGATATTATAGAATTTTCTTAAGCCAAGGAAGAATAACAATAAACTTCAGGAATTCCCATTAGATAAAATACATTCCTTAGACTGGATGGAGGAAGGGGATGGAGGGCAGTGCTGGTAACTCTTTTGTTATTATTTTTTTCCAATTTTGATTAGTCTGAAAGACTCTGATTATTTCTTAAGTTCATTTCCAAGGGATCTTTAGAAGAAGAGCAGTATGTTAGAAGTCTAAATGCTGTAGATTTCTTTTGACATGGTATTAATTATGATGCAGTTAAACTGATTATAATCTAAGTGATACTTTGTGTTTACAGATATTGAACCACCTTCCTTTCAACAAGAAAGTAATCAAGGCAAAATACCAACAGGTATCGGTATCAGATTCAAGCTCCCAGAGTGTGATGTCAGCGGTGTGCCCACGCCTACCATCAGATGGTTTAAAGATGGAGTTCCCATTGATCTTAGCAACAACACTTTAGGTTTTATCTTCAGCAATGACAATAAAAGGTAGCATTGAGATATCTTTTTTACTGAAGTATTGTCTGCATTATGTAGCCCACTGTAATTGGCTGTTTAGGTAATCCTTCCTCTTTGATTCATCATCTGTCTGTTTACCATCTGCCCATAAACAATTCTTGTCAGCACTGTTTCTCAGAATGTATACGAGGTACCTTTAAAATTAAGTCTCTCATACCATATCAGATTTATGGAGTGTTTTCGTGCAATAAAGTAAGAAACTTTAATCTTCTAGAAATGAAACTTTTCATATTTCACATGAAATTTAAGATGTTAGGAATTCAATAGTAGCCTGATGTCTACCAACATCAAATAAATTTTTATATTTCAGTTTGATTATCAAAAAAACATCACAGATCCATGAAGGTGAATATCTGTGTGAGGCAGAGAATCGCGGTGGCATTGTGTATGGCAACTGGTCACTCTATCTAGGTAACTTTATTTACAAGTTTGCAAATCTTAGATAATTTTCCATTATATAGGAGTTGTAAATGTCAAATCATTGTTAAGTGCTTACAATATGTAAATCATTCATACAAGAAAAACAATGCAAAGCAAACTGAAATGTTTGTCAGTAATTAAATATTGCAACATGTAAATCTTAAAACGAAAAGACACGAAGCCTTATCCAATTTTAATTGTGTTTGTATCAAATTTTCACAAATAGTGTAAACATCTTTTAGTAGTAATCTTTTTTTAGCACTTTTTGCACTCTTTAGTGTAGCAATGAATTTTGATTGTTTCTATTGCTGTACATATAGTATTCAATGTGGATGCTCGAATTTATCATTGCAATAATGTGTTGAAAATTGGATGATATGGCTACAGTAAATGAACAAATCAAACACATCCAAATTACAACCAGTAATCAGTACTGTAGTATACTTATTGAATTACTGTATTTATCCCACAATAAGCCCTCCCTTATCTTTTGATGTTCAGATGAATTAAAACCAATATTTTCATTTCAATTGACAGGAGCATTGTTCCAGGGTGCGAAGATTTATCACAAAGGTCTAAATCCCAATATAATTATAGCGGCTGTTGTCGTAGCAACAGTCATTCTTGTTGTTGGGTTGGTGGTAGTTATATGTCTCTACCGGAGAAGATCGGCCATCTTAGTAAGTCATGCTTTCTCTCCTTAGCTTATATAAAATGTAAACCAATGTTGTAGCCTATAGAAAAGGGCACATCTGTTGTCAAGGTCAGTTTAGCTAGTTATGTCTGTTTTCATTATTTCTTGTACAGTATCAACAACCTAAAAATGTCATATTTCTCCTGTTACAAATTTCTTTTTTAATGTCAAACTCTGATACCCATCATTCTGACTTGCATTTTACCAGTTCTGCTAAATTCTCCTACCTCTCATTTACAGAATAGATAAGCTGCAGAAACCTTTTATTAAAACCAAAATATTTCTTGAATTTTAAGTATGGACAATTCTCAAATTGTTCATGAGTTAAACTGTCCTTGTTTAGTCAATACCTCCTCAACCTAGGAAAATGGGTTTTATGTCATTGTTTACTCTTCAGCACAAGGAACTGGAGCAGTCACTGATCCACCCTGTAAAGGACTATAACCCAGATCTCCCTATTGACGAACAAACCACATGTATACCCTATGATCCAAAATGGGAGTTTCCTAAGAAGAGGCTGAGGCAAGGTAGATGTAGTTTTCTTCAAGATTGATTATTTATTTATTTATCTGTTTATCTATTTATCTATTTATCTATTTATTTATTTATTTATCTATTTATTTAGAATATGTTGTGAATGCAGTTTGTGGTTTCAAGTTTATTTGGCTAGTAACTTGCGACTGCCCCCATGTAGCCCTCAAACCAGAGGTAGAGGGCTAATGATAAAGATTGTCAGATGTCTTCAACACTCGGCCACTGTGGCCCACAATTACAACATTATCATATGTGAAGTGCTTTCAGACTTCAAAAATAGCAACACATTTGCTGGCCATCTTTCTATCCACCTTGCTAAGCAATGCCCATCTGCATACTTTTTACTTCACAGGTTCAAAATACATTTGCTCACTTGGTTTAAAGTATACGAGCTCTCACAACCGTTTCATTATTTACCTTCTGTCAACTTGTCTTTTATTTGACTGTTTCTAAAGCATGGTCAACAAAGTTTCATCAAAGATCATTGTGCTGTCTTCTGTATGGATAATTTGTACCATGAGAAAATTATTTACCATTGTTATGTGTTATAGTAAAAAAGATAGATATGCTGTTTTCTGAAAATGTCTTTTTCTATTTTGATAAGGAATGATCCTGGGACAGGGCGCGTTTGGTCGAGTGATCAAGGCTGAAGCCATTGGTATAGTGGAACATGAAGATGTCACTATCGTGGCTGTCAAAATGGTGAAAGGTTAGTTCATTTCTTGATTAATTGACATCCCATTGGCCTGAATTGTTGTTATCACAATCTGAAGTTTGTAGAGACTGCTGCTGTTTACATAATTAAGCATAAATAATAAGTTTGACATTTATTGTTGCAGTATATTACTAGTATAGTAAAAACCCACATAATGTGTGCTCGTAATTTGAAGTACATTAGAATTCAGTCATGATCTATCACCTTGATCTAAAAAAATGATCTCAAAATATTTAGCTAACATGTTAGACCAATAACATGTCAGAACAATATCAGTCCAGAATTTGAAAGTATTCTCTTCCAAATCTGTTTTCATCTAAATCATTGATTATAACTACCTTTAACTACAATATATTTGTACAGAAATCATCTGCCTAATTTCTGGGCTTATCTTTACATTTCTTTGAAATAAGACATGTTATGTTGTACACCTGAAAACTTGCCGTTCTAATTAACCTAGATTTATCCATCTTATACACAAACACTTGTCTTATACACTGATCAACAGTGTCAGTGTTGTTATCTCAGGTACAAAAATTGTCTCTCTTTTAATGACCAAATCAGCTGATTACAATCTTCTTTGAAGTCTTGCACATGCCAGATGACTCAAATTGAGGCCTCAACTCTGTATTTGCAAGCGATCGTTACACAATGCGTTTATTTTATTTTATTTTATAAAGATTTATCTCCCTTGTTAGACTATTACATAAGAATATTTAACTGATATTTTATGGTTGAATGGTTATCATCAACAGACTGTACAGACCGTGACCAGATGGAAGCTCTATTGTCTGAACTCAAAATTCTCATCCATGTGGGTCAACATCTGAATATAGTGAACTTACTGGGAGCAGTAACGAAGGATATCAGATATGGTGAGTAGGGGAGTTGGTAACTCACTGGGAGGTGTGACAAAGGATATAAGATACAGTGAGTGGAGGATAAGTGAGTTATTTACTGGGAGTAGTAGCGAAGGATATCAGATACGGCGAGTAGGGGAGTTGGTAACTCACTGGGAGGTGTGACAAAGGATATAAGATACAGTTGATTGAGTAAGTAACTTATGAGGAGCTGTAACAATGGATATCAGATATGGCGAGTAGAGAATGGGTAACTCATCCGTAGCTATAACAAAGGATACAGGTGAGTGAGTAAGTAAGTAACTTATGAGGAACTGTAACCAAGGATATGGGATATGGTGAGTGGTAGTTAGAGCTGGTTCTGGAACCGTAATGATTGATTCAGGAACGACAACAAGTATGGAGCAGAGTGTATATTAGAGCTTTTCCCATATTCTTTTAAAGCACTATTTATCAGTTTGTATTACTCATACTAATTAGAATTTCAAACCTATGTAATGTATGGGAAGTTCCTTGTGTCTGTATGTTTGCAATAATACTTTGATCTTTGTAGGAGAGCTGTATGTCATTGTGGAATATGCTCATTTTGGAAATCTACGTAACTACTTGTTGAAGAACAAGAACACTTTTAAAGATGTCATGGACGATTACATTGATCCTGTTGAAGAGAAGAAACGTGAAGCTGCCAAGGAAGCAGCAGCTTCGAAACCATACTATGTCAATAAGGCACTGAAGGATAACTCGGCTGATCTGATTGGTCCATCCCTAACAACAAAGAATCTGATCTGCTGGGCATTTCAAACAGCAAGAGGCATGGAATATTTGTCTTCTAAAAAAGTAAGTTTAAGTATTGAGAGTGGATAATTTAAATGAGAAAATAGGAAATGACGATTATTAGTTCTGTAGATACAGATGTGATTCATGTTATGAGCAACTTGGAACAGAAGAGATTTTATGGAGACACAAAAATGTGCCTATACAAGGTCTCGAATACAGTCAAATTTGCTTAAAGTCCACCTGTCTAAAAAGGCTTTTTTTTAAATTCCCAATATAATGCAATTCATAATAATTGAACCTCTATACAAGGACCAACTGTGTATAAAGGCCACTTTTATCTGGTCCCTTGAGTGGCCTTAGAGACAGGTTTGACTGTAGATTAACATGAAAAAATTACTCATACCAGGTAAATAATATTTATCTTGCATGTATGTCCATATACGTAACACATTGAGTCTGAATTTTTACACCTTTATTAGGTGAAAAAGGATGAATAGCAAATTTAAGCCCATGTAACAGTAACTTAAGCCGAGCTTGTAGATTATAAGGCCATCAAATCCATGCTATAGAATGTTCTTATATTTCAGTTTTATTTCTGGATTCAATTAGAAATACTGTAAAATAGTTTTTTGTCTATAGCTGAATAAATATTAGATTTAAAATATGGAACAGAAAATATATGGTACTTTTATTCTAATATGATATGATGATTTTGTACAGTACATTCACCGGGACCTGGCTGCTAGGAACATCCTACTTGCAGAGGACAATGTCGTCAAGATCTGTGACTTTGGCTTGGCTAAAGACTGCTACAAAAATCCAGAGTACTTCAAGAAAGGAGATGTAAGTTTGGCATGTCCATGCACCATTACTGTCCATAGAACAAAGAATATTTACATATATGATATGATAAAGGAAAAATCAGGTGGATTAGATTATGTTTTATTGTAAAGTACCGTACATACTACTTTGTTAACATTTCAATTTGTAGATAAATACAGCTGGATAAATCTACTTCTACTTATTTTAACAGTTCATGGAATATATAATATGAACACATGGATTATGAGTACACGTGAGATCAGTGAAAATAAATCATCCACAAAAATTAATAATTTTACAGTATGTCAGTGGTACCCAGAGCTAGTCCACAAAGGGTACTGTGTAAAGAAGAAGAAACTTAAGGACTTTCAGGGTCCTGTGTCAGTGAAATTAGTGGATCTAAATTTTGTAAACAGTAACTTCCTGTGTCAAGGAAATGAATGTCAGTATATTTCAAGGCCTTGTGCCAGTGATATTGATGAATAAAAACTTAATGCGTGTGTTTCTGGGCCCTGTGCCGGTTAAATGAATGAACGCCGAGTTTATGTGTGTGTTTCAGGGCCCTGTGTTGGTGAAATGAATAAATATTGAGTTTTGTTTTTCAGGGCCCTGTGCTGGTTAAATGAATGAACGCCGAGTTTATGTGTGTGTTTCAGGGCCTTGTGCTGGTGAAATGAATAAATATTGAGTTTATGTGTGGATTTCAGGGCCTTGTGCTGGTGAAATGAATAAATATTGAGTTTATGTGTGTGTTTCAGAGCCCTGTGTTGGTGAAATGAATAAATATTGAGTTTATGTGTGTGTTTAAGAGCCCTGTGTTGGTGAAATGAATAAATATTGAGTTTATGTGTGTGTTTCAGAGCCCTGTGTTGGTGAAATGAATAATTATTGAGTTTTGTGTTTCAGGGCCCTGTGCTGGTTAAATGAATGAACGCCGCGTTTATGTGTGTGTTTCAGGGCCTTGTGCTGGTGAAATGAATAAATATTGAGTTTTGTGTTTCAGGGCCCTGTGTTGGTTAAATGAATGAATGCCAAGTTTATGTGGTGTTTCAGGGCCTTGTGCTGGTGAAATGAATGATAATTGAGTTATGGTTGTGTTTCACAGTCCTGTGCTGATGAAATGAATTAATATTGAATGTGTGTGTTTCAGGGCCCTGTTCCGGTAAAGTGGATGGCTATAGAATCCCTGACACATCGTCTCTACACCACCAAGAGTGATGTGTAAGTATGAAATTTGATATTACAACCATCTAAAGTATTGTATTATCTCCTTTTGGTTGGTCATCTTCATCACAACAAATACAGGTGTTGTGATCAATAGAAATTATTTAGTTTATAACAACCAACTTGTCTACCATATACTTATACAAAACGTATCCTACTTACATTCATACAAGAGCTGATGATGTATACATCATACCTTCATTAAACTCACCAAATTAAATCCCATGCTACAGGATATTAATGTCTCTTTATGTTAGTGTTTATATTCATTTTCTCCTGTCCACAGGTGGTCTTATGGGATATTTCTTTGGGAGCTGTTTTCACTTGGTAAGACATATGCAGAACTGATGTACAAAGACATTCTGAACTTCTGAAGTGCTACAAATAAATATCATGTACTTTTCCAAAATGTCACCTATTTATGTGTATTTTCTCTTGGAGTCATCAATTCTCGTGTACCATAGTATGTCATCAAATCTTGTGTGCCATAGTATGTCATCAAACCTTGTGTACCATAGTATGTCATCAAATCTTGCATTTTTTGTCATTGTGCCATCAGTTAATAAAGTACAAATAACTAAAATATCTTTTCTAACTTTTTCACCTTTCACATGTACCTCAGTTAAAATAACAAGCAAGAAACTCAACATGAACTATTTTGTACAATACAGGAGGAAGTCCTTATCCAGGTGTGGAGATCAACGAAAAATTCATTGATCTTGTTAAGGGTGGTTACATCATGGACAAGCCATACTATGCCTCTGATGAGATGTAAGTTAGAAAAAATGTCTTGAAGTGGGTAATGATATTAACAGTGGATAGTTTTGGCTCTACGGGTTATGTCATTTCCTAAAATAACTTTACTATAGTTAACTTGCTTGACAAGTATATCCAATAGTAAGTCATATATACATCTGTTTTATCTATCTTAAAAACCAAGTTTAAAATTTATTATTTTCAAATTTCATTCTACAAGTCATTCCTTTTCTTTAAAGGAGTGTGAAAAAATTATATTGTAAGATCAAATTTGTTAATACAGGGATATTGTATAAGTGAGTATTCATAGTGATTTTCAGAACTTTGATCAATTTATTTTATTCACAGGTATAAGGTGATGAAGGCCACATGGAGACATGATCCAGATGATCGACCATCCTTTTCGGGACTCGCTTCCCTGATGGGTGACTTCCTGGAGGCTAATGTTAAACAGGTGATCTACAAGTTTATAGTAAAAAGTAGCAGAAAGTTAAACATAAGTGCGAAGTGCACCTGTTTGTGTTTTATACAGATTTGTTAATTTCTGTAGCTGTCACATTGTGAAACTAGATATTAGGTTAGGAATGTAGCCAACATAGTTTTGTTTACCAGTGTGTAAAAAGATAAGGTGTGGTCTCAAAAATTGCACAAATTCAGTGGTGGAGGGGTTTAATTTTAAAACAGCATTAATTTGGCCATTTGGCAGGTCTTTATCCAGATTGGCAAAATTTCAAATCTCCAAAATCTAATGCATTTCAATAAATAGATAACAAGAATATACATCTCCTTACACTCTCTACACTAGATAACTAAGAAAAATTATGAATTTTCAAATTTCCCTCAACTTATGAAAGATGCTTACTATGGCAACTTTACCTGAGATAACAAATAATTATCATTACAAAGGTTACCAGGGAAGTATTATAGATTTGAAATACAGTGAATGGAGAGTTTAATGATGGGTTTAAAAATTTGATGGATTAAGGGGCCAAAAAATGCCAAAACCTTACTCAGTCCTTTTGCTTGTGCCTAGTATCGAAAAATTCCAAAGCATAAAGAGATTTATATGTTGCTCTTTGTTTATTTTCAATACAGAAGATTGTCTGGAGGTGGAAAACAATGGTTGCTTGATAAGCTCTATACCTTGCTGGTATTCTAAAATCAAAATACACTGTACATGAAAATTTTTCTATTACCTTGTCCTTTATGAATCATGTGCGGTGAAAACTCTTTCTTATCATTGGAACTCGTTATTTGTCTTGTTTCAGTATTATCTTGACCTGAATGAGCCGTACATCAAAATGGCAGACCTACAGAAAACTGGAAAGTCTGAAGGAGCTTGTGGAAGCTCAGCAGATCAGGAAGGCTACTACAAGATGAATGGGGAGACAAAACTCCACTCTGACTACACGAAGATGTCACCAGCACCCCCAATTCCTCTGGACAAAGCTTCTATTGAGGATGAGAGATATGTTAATGCTAACAAATGGCGGACAGATAAAACAAAGGAAAATGCCAAGGAAATTGAGCTTATGCCTCTAATAATGTCAAAGGACAACGAAGGTGAGGACAGTGAGGAGTCAGAGGAAGTGAGGCTGAGAAGGAAAATGAATGATACCAACCCTGGGGATGAATCTCCGACACAGTTAAATACAATGGCAGAGGTGCATCGTTCTGATGACACGGACAGTGGACATTCTAGTACATATGCACCGGGAACATCTCCCGATATTGGTGTTGATGGGTACCTTGTGCCAAAAGCGGGACCAGATGGAACACAATTTGTTGCCACCAAGAAACCAAAGAAGGAAGAGGATTCAAGTGGTGTGAATTCTGACTATAACTACCAGGACCGTCCTCCTCCAACCTACTCCGCAGTGATACGAGATGGAGATGTGGCAGTGTAGCTGAAGCTATCACCATCGACCTTCTTCACAGTGTTACAAAATAGAGAGGTGGCGGTGTAGCTTTAACGAGGACTGTTCTCTGATGACCTTTTTCACAATATTGCAAAACAGAGATATGGTGATGTAGAAAAAAGGCAGTCCTCCTCGGGTGTACCCAGCAGAGGTATGAGATGGAGATGTAGCTTATATAAGCGAGACTAGGACTTTCTTTCTTCACTTTTCACTGCCATGATGTATGTTAATTTAACTAGGTCTGTCTCATTATATCAAACATGTATGTTCAGGATATCTTTTTATTAATATACCTGTTTATATATTTAATAAGGTAATTAGATATTATGTGAATTTGTCTATTTTTGATACATAAGTCATGAAAAATTTACATCATTTGTTTAATAGGTATCACAAAGACAGTAGTACAAAGGGAAATTCTGTGAGAAATAGCTACAGATATTTTTCAGTTTTACATGGAAGACTCTGGTAATGTCTGTAAGGAGATTTTCTGTAATTCATTATTTTTAATGGTCAAAAATTAATGTCAATGCAGATCTGTTGAAAAATTATCCTTTTAATTTTTTTTCTGACGCTTTCAAAACTAAAATTTGATAGAAATATTTTGTACACTATGTTTTTTCTGACTTATATTGTTTATGTATGTATAACTTTGTTAGTGTTTATTATAGTAATTGTTGTAGTTTGTTGTATCCTCAGTATGGTTGCCTTGTTTTTAACACACACTATTACCAAAATGTATTAATTTTGTGTTCTTTCTTTGATACAAATTTTAATGTTAACTGCCTGTGATGTGTTAAAATGATAACTGATGAAGCATTTGTAGTTAACAATAGACCTTGATTCTGGTGTGCTATTTTGATGTTTGCAATGTCATATAGTGATGGTGTTCAAATGAGGTTTGGGACATTGCCAAATGGCTGACAAAATGGTGCCCTAGCACATTATGAAAAATCTATTTTTGTACCTGAAGTTACTGTCAGAAATCCTTTTGAATACATGTTTGATATTAAACTGTCCTGCAAGTGGAAAGCCCACCAGAATGAAGTTCACACATTATCTAATAACTTAACCTTGTGAGTTTGGTGATAGCAAATCTGTATTACTGTACATTGTATTATATTTGGAAGGGACAAAAATCCAAATTAATATTAACCAAAAAGACTTGGGTCAAAATTCTTTGAGAAAGGAGGTGCACTATCTTCCCCAATTTTCAATGAAAAATTAGTTGATGTTGTATCCTTGCATATGACATCTAATTAATAAATACAGTATTTCAGTCACACAATAATATCGATAACAAAGAAATATGAATCTGTCACTATACCACTAGTTATTCATCACTAATCATGTTAGTATTTATTTTTAAATCATGACTAGTCATACCGCATGTATTGCTCAGATTTAATTATTTATCTTGTTCATTTGGTAAATTTTTCTATCAATGCTTGAAAAAAATCTCAGAAATACACAAAGATAATTATACACAAAGCAAAGGCATTGCTCCCTGATTATAGTTGGGACCAAACTGCTAGAACTTAAATAAATATATTTGCATCATATCCAGTAATCATAAAAAGATGAAAGCAGAAGATAATTGTAATGAGTTGAGAGTAACCTATTAAATTCAAATGACTATCCTTTCTTAGTTTTGATCAAAAATTTTTTTTTTGCCATTGCTGTAAGTATAACTTTGAACATTGTAATCTATTTTTTTATAATTATTGTAATCGTTTCTTTTTTATTATAATTTGCGGATGTTATTGATTTTTTTACTCATTCCAGCTTTAAGAAATTTTATTTTAAGGTATTTTTGTTTTAGAAGAATATTGTTTAGAAAATTGCTTGTTTACTGAAAGCATTGTTTACTGAAAGCATTGTTGATGTTTAATTTTGATTTGATTTTGATTTTTGCTGATTTGAGTTGTATCATTGGACCATTTTGTTGATCTTGATAGAAAAATCAAGGATATTAATGTTGACCAGCTCCTATACATATATCATATTAGTATGTATGTTTACTTTGTATTATCTAGAAAATAGTGGTTGACTTAGCCCTAATACTTTTATATGCCATCAATAAGGAAGGAAGGAATTGTTTAGTTTTGGGCTCTTGTCAGAACTGATTTCAGAATCCTCTTACCTTATACAGGTGAACTTCATTACCCCAATGAGGGAGAAATCAATCTGTTTTGGGGAATATGGTGAGAAAAGAAAATAATGATGTAGATACTATCTGTGTCCAGTGGATTTTGTTTATATATTCAAGTATATGTATACATGTCCTTTGTAAATGGTCCTTAATGGGACTATCATTTTTTATTAAAAAAGACTTTGTGGGCCAAAACTGGAGTTTTGAATAAGCAGAATAGTGAGTAAGGAGATACACCTGTGACAGTGTATTTATAAACTAGTCAGTAAATCTAGTAACATCTGTAGATACATTCACAACTTGCCAATGAAAACTTGCCAACAACACTTCGGTTGTGAAGGACACAAGAATTTACCATTATACATTAAATGTACATGTGTCAAAGTCATTAACGCCATTAATTACTACCACTTACCGGGGTCAATTTCCTGTAAGAACAAGTCATATTTACACTGTCATTTTCATTCACTCAATATAATCACATGAAAGATATACTATTTCTAACCTTTTGATGAGACATGACAATCATGAATAAACAATAAATTGATTTTTATATATCATAATATAAATGTAGATAAAATGTAGTACTCCCAAAAACCTTCCCTAGTAGGATCATTCTACTTCAATAACTCCTGCCTTTACAGACCACCTGTCATATGTGATCCAATAACCTTCCAAATAACACATTGCTTATATTTAGGACCTGTATTTAACTCTTATGTGTGAGGTTATGTCTGACCAGTAAGTTTATATTCAAAGTAATTGACACATAATCTTTAAAATGAAATGCTTAGTTGAAAATACTTAAAGATGTTGTTCCTTGATTGTCACAACTTCTGAAAATTATTTCATCAACTGCTCACATACCCATATTGTTAAAGTCAAAAAAACAAAACAAAAAAACAAGAAAAAAGCAGGACATCTTGAATGAAGGACTGGCAAAAAATAAACAATATCAGTAATTAATTTGAGATTCTGTTTAAGATCCTAACACAAGAGCTGAAATAAACACATTGTCAGTAAAAGAAAACCTTATGACTGACTGTGTCAGTAATTAGCAATATGCACTATATAGTATTACACAATCCCTAACAGTTGATATTTTTTCTCACTCTGCATTTTAAAATTGATTATCACTATATTGAATATAGGAGATATTTATTTATACAAACCAGTTTGACCAAATGTTAAACCATGTAGTATAAACCAGCCTACCTCATTAAAAGTTTTGTGAAATTCAGCAACAAGAATATATATTCAAAGTTTTGTGAAATTCAGTAACAAGAATATATATTCAAAGTTTTGTGAAATTCAGTAACGAGAATATATATTCAAAGCCTAATTACGTATTTGAAATCTTTACTGAGACCACATGATTGTTAATTGTGTTTTAAATTATATTCTATATTTACCATTCATGTAATTTTTTTAGATTAATTTTATATCAAAGTGATTTTCATTACTACTTTCCTATATTCTGAAATCTCTAGATAATTGAATAAATGATTCCTGGCTCCTGAATAGTACAACCTTGTCACATTTTTGGCATAATAACAGAGGTTTAGAAATACCTGGTACATCAATGGAGACAGAGTTACAGTTAATTAGAGTAAAATTAATTCATGTGTTGGCTGAAACAAGGAAATATATTAAACACACTAATTTGACAACTCTTAAATGTAATTGACATTATAAAGTTCCTTTAAAGTTCCTGTCCCTTCCAGGACAATTGCTGTCCAACACAAATATGACTTTCTTTAAGGGTCTGTAACAATTAATGAAATTAAAGTTATCCTTAAACTGATAATTTTCAAGGGAAAATGCTAATATTTAAAAAAAAATATATATATTGGTATATATATACTGCCTCCATAAAGTTGGTTTCAAAAATGTCCAAAAAGTGAATATTTGTATACTTTCTTACCTGTATAATTTTTAAGGGTTGAAAGGCTTAGTTCCCTTCTTGTGAAATGTTTTATTCAATACTATAATTTAATAATACATATAGCAGATGTCAGCAAGATGTCCATTTTTATTTACACCTGCAGTCTGTAAAGTTTATATAGAAAATGCATATTTGTATTTATCTCTAGTCTTTACAATGCTTTAACAGTAAAATACAGTTGTTTTTTATCATTATGCAGCATTATTTAGATGCTCCAAAACAGAAGTCATTAAAATTATTATCAGACCAAGAAATCACTCTCATTTTCAGAGAATTATGTTATGAAAAAAAAACCTTAATTTTAAAAAATCTTTGTGCCTAGATAATTTTTATATATACCAAACCTTTTTCATCCTGAAATTTACACATTTTTCTTATTTCAGTAATCTCTCTAGCTGGAATTGTTGTTTTACATTTAAAAGTGCTGGTTCTTTTTCTTCTTTTTTAAGAATTTGTATTTTTCAATCATCCCTTGCTTACATGTCATCACTGTAGATGCATAATATTCTCAAAATATATACACTCCTCGCTGTTGAGTATTGACACTTTTAAGAGGAAAATTGTTGAATATTATTGCCTTTGATTAATCTCAATATTCTATTCAATATTGTTGCCTTATTTGAAATGCATCATGTACAGTGTATTATCACTAAGAACTGTTTATAGTAAAATTAATCTTTATCACAGAAACTTATTTGTATGTTTGGTTGATATACATTTTTTTGTAGGTACAGAATTAAAGATATTCTTTCATTTCTGTTTCACTTATCTGTATAAGGAAGCATTCGTATGAAATTGCTGATAAAAAATAATTATAAGGTACAGTAGTCATTTGCTGCTGGAAGCACACAGTTTACTATGGGAGAAAACTAGAGTGCCTGGAGAAGATCCATCAGAAAACGTTTCTGAGAAACAGGTGTGTTATTCACTGCACAACTCTATAACATTATTACTAAAGAAATAAATCTGATATATTGTCAAAACTTTCTTTTATTTATTGCATAATAATTCATGTTGTCATCAATCATTAAATGCATTTCAAAATTAAGACTATAATAAACTAACTAATTAGTTAAAAAAGAGTATACTTTTAAAAAATATTACACACACTACTTGTACGATCTCTAGTCAGAACAACTGTACCATATGCTTGGTATCCAAATGGGATTACGCTGAAGTCTATACAAACAATTGATAAAGGCAAAACAAGGGATGTTACATGATGGGAAATTATACTGACAATTAATACAAATATATTAACTTTTATTGACAAATAAAATTGGTACTATTCAAAATAATATTAATGACTCGCTAGCTAATTAATAGTTATTAGAAGGTAAATTGAATCAAATCAGAATTCGCTCACCTCCAATCAACTCTTAGTTCATTGCTTTCAGTAACAACTGATTTTTTTATAGAGACATTATCCAACTAATTGATCAATAATTATTTCATTCTTAAAAGACAAATTAATACAAATTTCTTGCACTGTTGAATGTTTCTATCAACGAAAAGTAGTTACAAGGCATACTCATTTAAGAAACACATGAGAACAGATCAAGAAACTCTCATTTAACTTGCAGCAGAGAGACATTACAGTTACCTCATCAAATAAGCCTTATCCCCTTACCTCACTTACTGTATCATAATTATAATTTTTACTAAAAATCATAGAAACGCTTCTCTCATTCATCCAACTCTGTGACAGGTCGTCAGCTGCACCCCTTTATGGCCATACCTTACAAACACCATAGAGATCTACATCTTCTTCCCTATCTATACACATCTGTATTTAACATCCGTGAATTCACCTCCATTTCATACGATACACTAGTCACACCACTTTCATATCTTTCACATCCTCTGTGTTGGTCCATACCTCCACATGTGTCACCTTCCTGCTTCACCTTCCAGACATCTTCTCCGTGTTTTACAATCCATCATCCAACTGGTCATACCATCTACACATGTGAGCACCCTCCAGCCCCACCTTCAAGACACATCCTCTGTGTCATGCCATACAATGCCCAGTTGGTCATACCATCTACATATGTGGGGCCCTTCCACCACACCTTTTGAGACACACCCTCCATATCACACCATACAGACATGGCTTACCCTTAGTCACACCATCCATTCATGAGTGCCGCTGTCGCATTTTACATACAAGACTTGACATTTAACCTTACAAAAAACATTTATACTCAATCACACCCCTTTTTCTCATATATTCCAAAGACACTCCACATTCTAACACCTTTCCAGAGCCACTAATAAAACATTTAAATCAATTTATATATTGCACATATTTATGTCTCGGACAATGCCATATTTCAATACAAGCTACAAATATGTTAAGGCAATCATTTGAATACTAATAATTAAAGTATTAAGTTTGACCCCCTCCTCGACTCGCTCCTACCTGGAAAGATTGTCAAAGCTATTGTTTACCTATACTCAAATTTGTTCTTTTAACCACTGACAAATACACAAACATTTTAAACAAAATCTGAATCAAGTCTTTTGTTTTTAATAAACTAACTCTATTCTAATGACAAACCTTTTCTTTTTTATAGTTATTTCTAAGAATGGTTGAATATTTTGAGAAATGCCTGGTTAAATGATGCTGATAAATATCATGAATAGCAGGCTATTGCCAAAAACTGGCTTTGAATGATATCACTCTTTAGAACATCTCTGCTAGTCTAATTTGTGCACAAATTTATCATGAAAAAATCTAGATGTAGATGATAAATATGTATATTTCGCTGTTTCATAAATAAATGAAAATTTGACGAGACAGTCCTGACTATGACGTCCATATTCCCTGAAATATCTCTTTTTAACCTTGTCAAATGGAAATTCAGACTGGTGAATCAATATAGATTATGGCCCCTGTAAGTTTTGGTATGAATTACCTCCCCTGTAAAGGAGATTATCTCCCCTGTCAGTGGATTCCCTCCTAGTTTTCTCTACACTGGCAACAGATCAACAGAAAAATGCCATTTCATTTAAGCTGGCCATGACAAGCCCCTTCATCTACTGTTACAAACAGCATTCTCTGGGACATATTCTATTAACCATGTTAATAGTTATTATAATGTTAGTATCACTATAAAGTCCATTAATCTTTTCCATCACTATACATTGATAGGAGCTGATATCCTTGGAGGACTGTGACGTTCTGGAGATAATCCACCTCCGGAGTTTCTGGCTTCCAGTTCCTGCTGAAGTTCCTCCACTGTCTTTTGAAGTTGAGCTTTCAGTATGATCAACTCCCTGTTCCTGAGGTGTATGGGTTCCTATGACCAATAGAAGTCATTTATTTCTAATATCCTTTTTAGTATAGAGGCTATTTTCTTTCTTGATATACAAGATGTTTTAACTATTTGTGATAATCAAATACTTAGCGATCAGTGTAACCAAGAGTATTATTATTATTACTAGACATAAATCTGTGTTACTTTTTACATCAATGTCTGTTTTGGCATACTTGCTTTTCACAATTTTTTTATTGTGTGGCCCCTTATGATTTGACTGAATATGACTTCAAGGACATTTCCTGTGCAACCCTTTACAACCTGGCTGTACACATATTGACTGTGTAAGATATTAAAAGAGACTTGACTGTACAGGTTGACTGTTAAAACATGAACTAGTGTAGTCTGGTATGACCTGACTCTATAGACAGCAATTTAAGACACTACTAATGTAGCCCTGTATGACTGTTAAGACATTAACTAGTGTAGCCTGGTGTGACTTGACTCTATAAAATTGAAGACACTACTAATGTAGCCCTGTATGACTGTTATACATTACCTGTGGCCTCATGCGTGGGTTCCAGCGGCAGTAATAACCAGTCCACAATTCAATCCTCCTCATGCTGGCCACTGGGAAGAGAACGTGCTGGTGAACATAGGCTGCATATAGTGGGTTAATGAACTCCTCCTTCTGACAGTTCACAAACGACCACAATGACACCGTCTTCTGCTTCAGGTTCTGAACAGAAAAACCATCACACTCACTTATCACACTAAACCAGTGTGTCCATCATTCAAAACTATGTTAATCAAAAAATGATAAATAGAAATCCTAACAAAAATTAAGAATACCAAGAAAAGCTGAACCAAGAAATAATCTTCACAGCTTTGTTTAAATCATTAAAAAATATACTGTGAATGTACATAATGTAGTAACAATCTTATTGTAGTATTTGTAATGCTTAAATATATGGCATTAAAATATGATGAAGCAAATTGCACACTCTGTATGTCATTGGGCTGTGAGTAATTTGCAAATTAAATATGGCATTAATTTGTTCAAAATCGATATTATACTAAAATGAAATAAGGATGTATACAGTATCTACAAACACATTATACAACAGAAACAGAAGCTACACTGATTTATGTACCAGATAGATAATTTACAGGATGTGTATATAACAAAAAAACATGTGTTGATATCTATATCTACTATCTATATATCTACCTCTTTGTGTCTGTTGTTCAGTTATACAGGAATGTCCCAGACAACTTTACAGGAAGTGATATCTATATATACCTACCTCTTTGTGTCTGTTGTTCAGTTACACAAATATGTCCCAAACAGACAACTTTACAGGAAGTGATATCTATATATACCTACCTCTTTGTGTCTGTTGTTCAGTTACACAAATATGTCCCTAACAGACAACTTTACAGGAAGTGATATCTATATATACCTACCTCTTTGTGTCTCTGTTGTTCACAGTTACACAGGAATGTCCCAAACAGACAACTGTACAGGAAGTGATACCTATATCTTATATCTATATATACCTACCTCTTTATGTCTCTGTTGTTCACAGTTACACAGGAATGTCCCAAACAGACAACTGTACAGGTGATCCATGATTGTTATTAAAAAATGCTCATTAAACTCAAAGGCATTCGGAAACTGAAATAAAATATATACAGACAAATGATGACCCATATATTCCTCATTAAACAATTGCAGACTGAAATTTTTGTATAATTTTTTTTTTTTTCAATTTTCATATCAAAAGACACATTGTTTCTTTCTTCTTTCATATCTATTAATTTATTTCTTCATTTTCAACTTTCCAGACTTTTCATAGCTGTATAGTTCCATGTATTACAGTCAGAATGGTAATGAACATAAAGTTAAGATTTCAAAGCAACAAGTGATGATAAAAAATGGCTTACATACCTGACGCATAATTTGCCACACACAATCGATGAACTGGAGGAACACGGGTGATCGGTCGGCATCTGAATGTTTATCTTCACCATGACCAACTCTCTGTTATACAAATTTATCATGACCAACTCTCTATTATAAAAATTTATCATGACCAACTCTGTTATAAAAATTGATCAATCACATGAACACATCAAAATAAATATCTGAGCTTTTAGGTTTAATAAAAGATGATTTAACCAATTCATATGAAAAGTAAGTATTTACTTGGAAATTATTCTTTGAATTACTAGTCTGTATTAGCATATTATTTCATAGCTTACAAATACAAACAGTATATTCACCCCTTTCTCACAACTGAAGGTCATAAAGTTACTTATCAATTTTGCCTTTTTTAAAACCTACCTGTGCAAATTTATGTCCAAAGCTCAGCCATTCTTTTTCTATTAGGACTTCGAAGCCAATGACAGTTCTGTAGAATGGGTCCAACATGATCATAGACAGACATGTCAACTGGAATTAAAAGCTGAACATGAGGACAGATTCAAATGTAAACTGCAAACATTTAGCTGTTTATGTACATGTTGAGAAGGAATCATATAAAAATGTTTTTGGGTTTGATTGAAAATTAATGTCAACAAACCATACATGTAAGTGTATCTGATACACCTTTCAGTATTTGTAAGTGTATCTGATACACTTTTCAGTATTTGTAAGTGTATCTGATACACTTTTCAGTATTTGTAAGTGTATCTGATACCCTTTTCAGTATTTGTAAGTGTATCAGATACACTTTTCAGTATTTGTAAGTGTATCTGATACATTTTTCAGTATTTGTAAGTGTATCTAATACCCTTTTTAGTATTTGTAAGTGTATCAGATACACTGTTCAGTATTTGTAAGTGTATCTGATACACCTTTCAGTATTTGTAAGTGTATCTGATACACTTTTCAGTTTTTGTAATTGTATCAGATACACTTTTCAGTTTTTGACATGAAAGGATGAAGATGTTATAATCATGACATTAAATTCAAATTTAAATGTCTTAAACTGATATAGAAACTCAGTTTTTATTATTTAAAGGCAAACACCTAACAACAGCAAGTCAATACTGACATGCAGTATTCATTTACCTCTAAAAATAATAATGATTCAGCTGATAACTCATCAAAAGTGTTAAATATTTCATTCCATAAATATAAATACAAACTTTTAAAATGACACTTGTTGGCTAGACTGAAGTGGACATATGGGGTCTTACTGAGGGAGGAAATATTACCAGGATAGAACCAAGGTAGTTGGGAAAGTGACCTCATACCTACCCTGGTCGTGTAGATCTAGTGTTTTACCAATGTCACTTGATACCCATTTAATCCTTTCATCATAGTTTTATTCTATTAAAGATTTTCGAAGTAAGTAATTTTTACAGTAAAATCATTCCAGGAAATGTCAGTCAGAAGTGATGAGTAGACGGAACGACATGATGCTTACCTGAGCAGTCCGGTCCCATCCATCACTACAATGCACTAGCACTGAAGTCTTGTTACACTCTAGTTTGTCTGCTATCCTCAGTGCACCTGACAAAATTTGCTGGAATAACAAAATACTCATTTAAAAATGGAACATGGATTCTGAAAAAAAACATTCTTCCAAATAAACATTACTTGAAAAATCACCACCCAAACCAGAATCTCACAATCCAAATATCTAAATAACCTGATTTTTTTTCCACAGAATCAGGAACTTATACTTTAAGTTGCAGATAGCCATGATGTATTTTGGGATAGGATCAAAAGAACATATATATGGACATGTTTTCTACCTTTACGTGGTCGAGCCAGTGTGTTGATTCAATATTAGTCAGCCAGTGAGCATCATCTATTGTCGGGAACACCACATCTCTTAATTTCCTCAAACTGTTCACAAAAATATTAACAGAATTCTGTAAAGTATCTCATGTTATTACTTGTTCTAATTTCAACAAATATGAACTTAACGTCAATATAAAACCTTAGGTCTCTGATACAACAAATTCAATATCATGTAGATTGAAGAAAAGTTCGAGATACCTGACAAAATATTTACAAGTATCTCAACCACATACTCTGAATTCATTTGTTGTATCTTATGTATTTGATCACATTATGTTAATGGTGATGCTAGTAAACTAAAAAATAGTAACATTTTATTATTCATTGTGAATAAGAGATAATAGATATACTTATTATAGAAAACAATAATTAAATCTATGTAACTGTATAGTATTGCACTTTAGATTTACCTGTCCTTCATGACATGGATGTTGTGTATATCTAAAAATACCACTTCAGCATTCTGGTAGTTCTCCTCTCGTTCATAACCTCCTCCTTTTGCCTATAAATTACAAATAATGTTTCTTCACTGATTCAAAAGGAGAGAAAATAAAGCCTCCTCTTTAGGTCTTTTAAAACCAGGCAATCAAATACATGATGTTTACAGAGTTTACCAAACACAATTTATTCCAATTCCATTTTCCCAGTATATTGTATACAGTACATAGATATTACTCCAATATCACTACTCAGACACACAAAGCAAACAATAATTGTCATCTCATTCAATCTCAATCACACAATTAATCATTCAGTTTCCTTCACTCAGATTTACAAAATTTTAAAGAGTGATAAACTTGAAACACTGTGAAAAGAATAATCTTTCACCTCTTTTACAAATCTAATTTATGGATTGTAATCACAAGAGAAAGATTTCAAAGTTGACTAAAATATTGATGCAATATCATTATATCACTGCTGTAATGACAATGGGAATTCCTGTCTCAACCCTAGGGTAAGACACAGAAATCTCTTACTGGTAAGTGTGTGGATATACCATATCCTTAAAGTTTGACATAAGGTTTTATAACTGTTTTACTCACACTTACAAATCACAAAGATACCTTTTATTCATTGCCTTCTCCTGAATAAACAGTACTTCAATAATCACTAGCAAAGTTTTTAAGTGAATAAAGTAATGTCTACACTCCAGGGAAAGACAGTTCTTATTTCTATCTAGCAAACACCAGTATGCACCTGTTAACTGTCAAAGAAAAGAATAACTCCCCTTGGGTAAAATTTTAATATACCTGTTGTGGCAAGGAGATTTAAGTAACTATTTCCCAAACAAAACCTTCGAGAAGTATTCTATAAAACATTTGGATTTATTGGCTCTCATCATGTTTGCCTTTACTCAACAAATAAATTTACACTTAGTTATGAGTACACTGTCTATAAAACAACCGCAATGCAATGTTATCTACCTTGTTAGCCTGTGCATTAACACTTGGTCGTGCATCCATAATGTAGAGTTTATGTGATTGAGCATTGGCATCCATGATCATCTGTATGTAACGCTCGTCATCTTTGTTGCGTTTGTTGACCACACCCACCAGGGGCTGTCCAGAGCGCGAGATGGTGGCCTGACTTTGAGGGTGTATCCATGATAAAACCTAACACAGGAAATAGTTCATCATATTAATGTAATCATTTTCTTTTTGATAATAGGTATGGATGTTTGTGTCTAAATATACACTGTAATTCACAACCTCCTTCAAAATACACCAGTAACATTATCATAAGATATTCCCGGAGGCCGAAAATCAGAAACCAGGTAACATAACACCAGCTAATAAATAGAATTTGACCTGGACATTGACACTAAGTCATGCTGACCTTTGATAAAACCCCTATTTATTTCATTCTTATCGATTTATCATTATAATGTCTAAAAAAATAGAGTATTTGAGTTATCAACACTTTTCCCTTAGTTATTGAACATACATGTAGTCTCCCTTGATTTTTTCGTAACTTATAGTATGACTTCCCTTGGTTATAAAAAAAACTTACAGGTAGTCTCCCCTTAGTTCTAAAACTGGCCACTTGCTTGACATCCTCATCTGTTGTAGCAGCTGGTACAACAAACTTAAAAAAAAAGTAATTTAATACTCATCATGTCATGCACAAAACTTTCACAAAGTCTACAAAGATGATAAGATATCAATCGTTATTAAAAAACTTCTAAATGGTGTGTAATCAGCACTCAAGATTCTTTGTCAAACATGACATACCGCCTCCTGCTAAGATGTAACATTTGTACTTTTTGAGAAAATCCTTTTGATAACAGAGGAGGAGAATATGGCATTTAAAAAGAAATGTTGTTTATATAAATTTATTAGATAAAGCTCCTGACATGGCTCCTCAAAGAGTTAACCAAGGATCTGTACTAATATAATACTTAGTTGATATCCCTATTCTTTGCTAATCTGGGTCTTCCATGTACTCAGAATGAAGTAAAACTAAATTTTACAGTTTAGAAATGTTTCAGAGAAACAAATTACATATTAGTTCATTCAAATATTGAATACATACCAAAGAGGGATAGGTGTCACAACATTCATAATTTTCATTGATCCGTGTCACTCGCCAACTCTCATTTGGTAGTCCCTGGAATTTTTACATGAAAGAATTTGTTCTCATGTTTCACAATGATTGAAATTGAATAAATATCTACAAACAAAGATTTAACAGCAAATATAAGAGACTACATTCACTGTGAAAAAGTTTTAATCTAAAAATATGCATCTTTTTAGAAAAGTATTGGTACCTTCGCAAAATATTTAACAAGTGAAATCATTGTACCTGTCGTTTAAATTCTGTCATAGGATCAAATACTTTCCATCCATCTTCTCCATAATCTTCTGCCAAGTCAAAGGCAAATATAGGCTGTTAAAATAAGAAAATACATGTTAAAACAAACAGATGATTCAACTGTTACACAACCATTTATGATAGCAGTGTGACACAATCATATTAAGGAGTCAGTAAAATCCAATATTACCTGTTTATTTGTAATGGGAAAGGCATAATGTTGGATTTTTTCAAACACTTGTCTTCTTGAATGGTTTTCCTGTCTATGTGCAAACCTCAAGTTTCTGATGTCCTGGAGAAAGAAAAGTGGGATTAATTCATGATCTGTTTATAATTCCATGTATTAAAGGATATTCTGTAATAACAAGAAAACAGAAAAAATAAACAATATTCCTAAGGAATATCAAATAATTACTTATTAAATAACAGCACTCTGTCCCTTTTTAGCTGCCACCACTTAAACCATTCTGTAAATGCCTTTCAAATTAAATTTCATGAAGCTATTAAAGAAGACTTACCTTGCATAAGAGATCTATGCCGTAGGAGTTTTCCCCACGACTAGTGGCGCCTCCTATCTTCTCTATCTTACTGATGACACCAAGTGGCACGTCAAGGATAAATGGAGATTCCTAAAGACAGAGACTTGAAATTGTCTAACCTTGAATCTCTCTCAACATACACTGTCCCTGTGTCAATACTCAAATTTCATTATGCCTTACAAAAACCAATATATCTTTTCCAACAAACAGACAAAAAAAATTCTAATAAACTGACACATGTCATTCACAATCTACACATTGAAGCTGTATCTTTAGTCTAAGTTTTGACTTGTTTACCAGTAACTAAAATTCTTGAAATTCCTGATACTATGTGTTTTAACAATACAACAGCATAACACATACCCTCTCTGAGCTTTTAAAATAAAGTTTGTAGTTTGTGACAGTGAGGGTACCCTTCACAGCTCCACTGTATGGGCACAGATAGGTTACATCCTTTCCTATGTTAAAAAATAAATAGTACAAAAGTTCATTAAATGAAACAAGTATATGGATCAGAGAAGACAGAAAAAACATGTTATTGCAAATGTTTATAATTTTGATTACATATGCATATAATTTCTGAATCTTTGATTTTATACAGCAGATTTATCGTCTGAAATTAGAAAATATGCTACCACAAACCAATCCTTTGTTTCCATGCTTTTAATGAATACAGGGACAAGGTGTACATAGATATTTCAATAACCAACAGTTATTGGTTTACTACATTCTTGTTTTTATTTTCAAACAAGGTGTCAAATTTGTTTTGTGAAACATTAACTGATAAAATAATTTAGTTGTTGAAATAAATCAGTTGATGTCGATCATATTCCATATCATAAGCACAACATCCCTCATCCATTAGCTTATTTCCATAAGTCATATCAAGTGGATTTGCATCTTGTGCTTTTTAAGCCCAAGAGTACACATCATATACAAGTTTAAATATAGGGTCATTAATTCTTCAACAGTGGTTTGTGAGTGAAATAAACTTTTAGCAGAATCATATTGAACTGATTAAAGAGAAATTACTAACTTATTTAGCAATTATAACTCATCAGGTTTTATATTATTACATTTATGTAAATTGTATCACATTGCCAAAAAGTAAGCCACAATATAAACTTGACAAAATGGTATGAAAAATGTTGCATGCTTTAAATGATTAGTTGTCTTACCTATTCCCTGGACCTTTTCTCCCTGAAGAAGTGGTGGATCATCAGATTGACCAAGTTTAGTCGAATCCCTCAGAACCTGAAAAAAATGTTGTATAAAGGAGTACATTTTTCTCAAAATATCAATCTATTGTTTAAAGTAATATGTTTCAATTACTGATCAGTGATGTCTGGGAGTTTCTGTTAAAATTGGAGAAGGCACAAAGTATGAAATCACACAGGATAGCATTGGCGTATTGAAAGTCTCACTTAAATATGAGATTTTGGTGGCATAATAACCATTGAATTTTTCAAATAACTTGTAAACTGGTAAGAGGCTTTCATAATGCTACCGTACCATATTCACGTCCCTGCTATCTTGTGTTATTTGTGAAAAAGAAAAAGGGTTATTTCAAATATTTCTACCTGTTATTTTAACAAAAAAATAACAATATGTAAAAACAAGGTATGCAACCAATCATCAAGACGTAGGAAGTGTCCCATTTTGAGTACCAACATGTATATCGCCTGGTGGGGTAGTCTCACGAGAATAGTTGAGAATAGTAGTAGCTGCAACTCTGCTGCTCTAGTCCGGTCACAAAGAAAACGAAAACGGGTTTTAATGTTACCGACCTTTAGAGGGATAATTTCGGCGGGCACATGTTCCGAGGAGGTAGAGGATGACGAACACAGTGACTTCGATGGCGATTCAGATTCTTTGGAACTGGTGCTTGAAGTTTCGTGTGGGAAAGATGCAGAACGATCGGATGTTGAAATGGATTCGCTGCTGGCTGCGGCGGCTTGTGGATTCTTCGGTTCTGGAAAAAGTTCGTTTCCTTCCTTGCCTTCCATTTTTGATCAAACAATTAAAGCTACCTGAATGATATATCACTGCATTTTCACTGTTAAGATTAGATGAACTTCGATGAGCTTGATGTGACAGCAGGAAGTATCCTAAATAAAAGAACTACACCAAGAAAGACAACTCTGTATGTGTTTATTACTGAAAGGAATTCAACGCTCAGAAGGCACATATATCAAAATATGCGTGTGACTTTTTCAATTCATTTCTTTTTATTGTTTCGTCAATGACCTTTTTGGTATCATGTCATGTATTTAAGATCGAGACCTCCTGACATATACACAATTTTTTTACTTTTGAGATGCTTCACGTCAGATCAATGCATGCTGGCGTGATTCGTGATCCATCATAAAAAAATATAGAACAATTCGTATTTCAAATTTCTTTCATAGCATTTATACAATGGTCACGGAATATCTATTGATCCAGGTAAATTCCAATTACATATCGATATCCTACTTAATTAATTTCTTTTACTGTTAAATTTATCATATTATTTCAAGCGAATTACCAGTGTCATATACGTCCCTGGAATTACCAACAAAACCCCACCAAACTAATGTTTACATGTAGTACACATCTAACAAGGTATATAACACATTAAGGTACGTGTCAATATGTTACCATTTTATTTACACTTTGAAGTCAAATTAACCATCACGGATGATAGCTCGAAACTTATTCAATTTCTAAATGAATTTGTTCTGTGGTTAGTTAATTTTTGTAATTTCATTAAGCTGTAGTGTTTTTTAGTTGTGCTATGTACCACAAACTCACTGTGATAAATTCTATGTTAATACCGTGCCTATTACATTATGGATGTTTTGTTGAATTTTATTTCAACATTCCTTCTGTGATTTTTTGTTCTCTGTATTATATTTTTATATGTTTGCCGTGATAATAGCTCTTCTGAGCTAATGTTACGTGTTTTATTGTATACGACAGAAAATAAATTTTCTTGTATCTTGTATCTTGACGCGGCAACACCAACTTTTTAAGTCTGTCCGCATGGATAGGTAAGACAGTTAATATCCCAGCAACTCGGCAATTGATGAAAGTCGAGCTTGCAAACAAGCTATGGAGTGGATGTTATCAATATCAGTAACATTTTACACCATAAGTGTGTCGATGGTAACCCCTTTGAAGCATTTCCTATTACTCCAAGTCTAGATGGGTTTTTCCCCAGTTACACACAAACTGCAGCAACTCAATGCAGATGACCTTAGAGCTATTTCTCCTATGGCGTGTTCTTGTTCTACCTCTCCCTGTACAACTTATTATCCCCCGCTTTCACCGAAACAGGGGATATTAATTTGGGTATGTCCGTCCATCCCTCCGTCCGTCTGTCTGTCACACTTCCGTTTCCGTGTTCTAACTTCCCCAAATATTATCCAATTTGGGTGAAAATTGGTCAGCAGATGCATCTTGAGATCATTAAGACTGAGTTTGACTATCAGTGTCATCTGTTAATAATTATGCATACTAATGAGGTATCCTTTGATTTCATTGGTCGGTTTATTTCCGTACTCTAACTTCCCTAAATATAATCCGATTTAGATGAAACTTGGTCAGCAGATACATATTAGGGCACACCAGACTGAGTTCAGCAATCATCATTGTCTGTTAATATCTATGCATACTAATTAGGTATCCTTTCATTTCATTGGTCGGTCAGTTTTTGTGCTCTAACTTTCCTAAATATAATATGATTTAGATGTAACTTGAAGTCCCACAAATATTATCAGTTTATCATTAAACTTAGTTACTGGTATACAAGTTTTCTTTAATTAGTTCACATTATTGGTTAATATTTGATATGTCCAATAAAACATCCTCTCTATAATCCTTTACATATTTCTTTGGCTTTAAAGCAATACATCATAGCTCAAGAGAATATATCATTCTACATAGCATTATGACATGTTTACTCCTAACCTCTTAAATATTTACTTACAATATGTTTAGAAAGCGGGAGATATAAATTCCATGAATTTGCTTGTTAACTACAGATGTATGATCGGGATGGATACAATAGTCATGTAGGTCCTAGTTATCGGCGATTTAAGCATTATTCAATATGTTAAGCTAAGATAGCTTTTAATACAAGGTCCAAAATACCACGAGCTTCCTCTTATTAACTGGAATGTTAATTTTAAAGTACCTGTTCAGTGGAAAGCTAGGCGAAATAGTGGTTGAGTATGCTTAGTGGTTCCAATATTGTTGAGATTGTTCTCATTTGGGAGCGTGTCATTACATACTTGTCCAAGATTTTCAAGTAGAATATCTTTTATAAAGTAGAAGACGTTTACCCTTCTGGAACACTTTGTCTTATTCTCCTTATACCGTTCAGAGGTCTAGGTATAGTTATATTTGCCCTTATTTGGTGGAATTTTAGAATGAATGAAGATTTTGCTGACATGTTGGTATTTTCTTTGTTCATGATTTCGTGGTTTTATACATTTAGTGTTTACATTTTTCCGTTGCCTTCTCGTCACTACAATACTACAATTACACCTGGTCCTGCTGTATTGAGACGTCACAATACTCAATACAACATAGTGTTGTTGGAGATGTAAACATAGAAAGTGATGTAATTTCTAAATGTAATGATAGTCGATATCTCATGGAAGATTAACGAACATGTCACTTACATTTATATAAACTATATCCACATTCAGAAAATATTTTATTGTTTATAACTAAAAGGAACATTCGATAGGCCTATTCATTTTGAAAACGAAAACATGCTGTAATACGCATTATCTAATTGAATTCACCAATGTCGTAACTAAAGCCCCAACAGAGCAAGACGACATCCTGATGCATTCATTTGTAGGTTGAAAAGGAGAGTTTGTAACACTGACATGTAATGCGAAAGACCTGCATAGAACCATTGACGTGGATAGGCACCGATTCCCAAACCATGGTCGCATACCAGCACGCGTTATATTTTATGTGTCTTATAACACGATGTGTTTTTATAACTGTGTCAGGTTCCTGTGGTCGCAATGCTTTCCATGTGTGTTCTGTAACATTGTCAGTCCCGGAAATAAATATCATCCATCCAGGAATAAAAAATCATCATTCTCAGACATATATCAACATTCTCGAAAAAATATCATTATTCTCGGAAATAAATATCATGATTCGGAAATAAATATCACGATTCTCGGAAATGAATATCGTCATTCTCGGAAATATATATCATCATTCTCGGAAATATATATCATCGTTCTCGGAAAGATATATCATCATTCTCGGAAATATATATCATCATTCTCGGAAATAAACATCATCATTCTCGGAAATATATATCATCATTCTCGGAAATAAACATCATCATTCTCGGAAATATATATCATGATTCTCGGAAATGAATATCGTCATTCTCGGAAATATATATAGTCTTTCCACAGAAAATAAAAGTCATCATTCCCAGAAATAGATATCATTATTCTTGGAAATATACATCATCACTACAGGATATGAATATCATCATTTCAGGAATGAAATATCACCATTCCCGGAAATAAATATCACCATTCTCGGTTTTAAATATCATTCCCGGAAATTAGTATCATCTTTCTAGGAAATAAAAATCATCACTCCCGGAAAAAGATATCACCCTCCCCGGAATTATGTATCATCATTCTCGGGAATAATAATCATCATTCTAGGAAGTATACATCATCGCTACAGGATATGAATATCATCATTTCAGGAAAGAAATATCACCATTATCGGAAATAAATATCATAATTCCAGAGTATAAATATCATTCCCGGAAATAAATATCATCACTCCAGGAAGTAAATATTTATCGAAAAGATCCATGTATCAAGATATCGGGAAAAAACTGTTTCCAATTTCTTGCAAATTAAACCTAGACTCTTCTCTTTCCTTGGAGTCGATATCATGTATTCTACGAGTTACCGATTATGGGAGATTAAGCAGCGAAATCGTGGCTTTATCACGAATAAGAATCGTGTCTGATACTAAAATAATGCCAATAACCTGATCATAGAAACAAAAACACTGAACGCGAAATAAAGATATAATATTTTATCACAACTGTTATCTTCAACATTTTCCATTTTTTTCTTTTTAATCTATTTTAGTTGAAAATGGACATAAGTATTATCAAGGATAAACACGCACATTATGTATACAAAAAGTCCGTGATATAATATTTATTTTCCATTTGGATAACTAAATGATCAATGGTATAGGCCTATTTCATGATATGATTCAATTATTTGCTTGTTTTGCATTCATTTTTCTTTTTATTCCTGGATTCTCGTTTCCGCTTTGCCTTTTTTGTTATGCTACCTTTGGAGACACTTTGTGACATATAGGGACAACTCATTTTCGATTTTGTAAGGTTCACACTGGAACGCATAAGGATTAAACTGGAGCTCTGCAATTTGGCATCGGGTTCCTGTTCTGGTTCCGATTCCGTTCCGTCCAGAGTGTGTTTGAGTTTTTCACCAACAATTGTTTCGATTTCGCTGGCGACACAAACATCACGCGGAGATTCCTGCCATGGTGACGGGTCATTCACACCCTTCATTTCCAGATTTCGTTTCTTTGATCGTTTAGATTTGATATTTCTTTTGTTAGAGTTTGGTGTCTTCTTTTTTGACGATTTCCGCAGTGGTGGCAGTTTTGCTCTTAAAGCTTTAAGATCATGTTCTGATTTTCCCCGTGGGGTAGACATAGACCGATTGCTTTCAGTTTTATCTTTTTTTGTATCTTTGTTCGTATTTACAGTTGAATTCTCATGTTTCTCAGAGTTGCATTTGAACCCATAAATACTCTGTGAGCGACTCATGGACTGACGGCTACTGGGACCGTTCTCTAGGTGTGCTGTTGGGTATAACGGAGGAAGTGACTTATAAGAAAATCTATTGAGCGGCCTGTCGTCAGTCTTCTTGATGGAATACCTATTTGTGATAGTTGCCGTGGAAACCGACAAAGCCGGAATGCCAAATTCTAACACGGGAACGCGAGGTAGATTATAGGCCGCCCTTGTCCTTTCTGGAAGAACTGATAAACGCTCTAGTTGGTTAAGAAGTGGATCTTTCGGCGTCACTGCTGACACACTTTTCTTCAGCTTGCCATAGATATCATAAAGACCACCATCGCCTTGCGATGATGAACGCATGTCATGCTCGAACGGAACGTGACCTCTTGGTGCTGCATATTGTTGCAGGTGTTGGTCGTGAGCAAAATATTCATTTTTCGCAAAAGGACAATCAAAGACAGACTCATATGACATGCTGCTAGCAGGGGATAAAGTCTCTTCAGAGAAAGAAGGGCTCACCAAAATTTTGTACGGGGTCCCACACTGTGACGGGACTTCTGTGATTGGGGTCATCACAGCAACTCTCCCACATTTACCGAACGAAAACAGGAACTCGCGCTCTCCACCAACCACAATAGATGTAGATATGCCCATTTCGTTGTCATCGCTGGTGATGGAATTCGTGCCTACCTTTTTCCCGTTGATAGAGAGTGAAGCAAAATCAGCATCACACTCAGCAGGATCGAGCTTGTAATTATTCAATGTGCCACATAATTTTCCAGATTGTGAACTTTTGACTCTTCTGTCATTGTCAAAACAATAATCGGCTATCTCTTCATCTGTACCAACAGCGCGACCTTTAACTTTTAATTTGCTAAGTGGATCGTCTTCCGTGGTTAATCCTGTAGAAGATGGATATTTCTTCTGTTCCTCTCGTTCACGCCATGAATCTGCTGTAAAGAGATGATCAGGCGAAAAGGAAAATTCATTACTTTCAAACTGGTTCCGATCGACTCGGAAACAGTCGTTTTCATAGTTCCAGTAAGAAGCAGTGTCTCTAGGTAGGGGTTCCCACGGAGTCCCAAATCTCCTATGACGGAAGTCCTCATCCGCATTCCCCCACTGGGTGGCCAATAGGTTAGGAGGCCCTCTCATGTTGGATGCTTGAGGACGTCCGTATGTTGCCGGATTCATGACTCTGCAAGTCCTCCCATTCCGTTACTAATGGCGGCGTCTATTGTGACGTCACATATTAGAGTGCGTCATCAATTAAATCACATGATATCAATTGTCACGGAATTGAAAATTAAAATTTGATGTCATTATTTTGTTAAACGTTTTATGTTCTAAGTGCCATTATGCTTCACCGATAGTAGTTTTTAATTAGAATTGATTTCCCTCTGCACCATATAGTCTGAGCTACCGTGAAACATTCTATACGTTGTTCTTTGTGTCAGTAAATAAGCTTCCCGTAAGATTTCAATATTATAATGACAGTATACTACACTAGTCCCTGCCTTACTTATTTTATTCGCATTGTTGTACTCTGCGAAATTGCCGCAATAAGTCACCAAAGTATTTTATCAGTAACCATAAAAGGAAGGGATCCTAAAGATGAAACAACATGTTTAAATGTACTTTGTATTGTTCGTATGTAAGAAATACATCAATACTCTCACGTGCTATTGACAGGCTTCACACATGTTGATTTATTCCTACTGTCCATATATGTCGTTATGATAGCGATTTATGCCAAAACAGAACTGAAAAAAATCGTTGATTTCCAACAAAAAATACATGTACACGAAAGCAACATCTAAAACTTACTGGGAGTGTTTATAAACATCATCAAATAGAATGCCAGAGGCGTAGCTTCCATAGAAAGAAAATGCCCGGGCTTACACATAAAAAAATCCTTGCATAGAGTATGTCGGACAAAATTACAAAACTAAGATTGAAGATAAATATCAGGGGTTGAAGTTTGTTGTTAAATAAATTTAAAAAAAAAAGCTGTCTCAGAAAACGATTCAAAACATCTTTGAAATCATGAAATTCAGACCCCTCGTCTTGGCTTACACATTTCTGCTGGGCTAGCTACGCCCCTGAATGCAATCATTTTTACACGTATTTTTTGTTAACTGGTGAAATAATTGCTCTATTATTTTATATAAATATTGATTGTAGTATGATTGTCTTCTCTTTATAAACATCCCAATAGGTATAAAATTTCGCCGCATTTGTGCACATGCATTTTTATCTGAAAAAAATATTGTTTTTCGCCAGTGTGATGTAACCGAGTCTGATATAGATATAAATAGCTATCATAGCAATATATTAACTATAATATAAACAATGTATAATTTGCATTTATTAGTGCGTGTAACCCTCAGTGAATACAGTGAGTTGCGTGTAATCTAGGGAATTATTTGAAGACATTGTATTTAAATTTACCGCCCGACTACAGAATTTGCTACCTTTAAACCGTATAGAGTTAAGGTTCTTGGTAGAACTTTTCAATTGAAGGACAAAAAGATATACTTTGCCGGCTGTGTTTTTAGTTTTTGGCGAAGCAATTTCATTTTTTGAGACCAAAAAACAGAAGAACAATGGCACTGAACAAATTGGCAATCGATTCTCTGGATTTAAAGGACAAGAGAGTCTTGATGCGGTTCGTATATATTCTACTTGTGGTATGATAACCCGTTGATCACGACATTTATTTGCACGAGGAACAGATATATTTTGAGGTGCACACTCGCATGTCTGACCTTGACTTTCATCAAGGACGGCTTGAATGTCACCTGGAATGAGGTTCTGCACGGGAAATTTTTCCTGGTTGATTAAAACTGTTGACTTATAATTATCAAATTGTTCTTTCATATGCGAAATGGTTAGTTCATATATTTTTTCTACTAAAATCTGTCACGAAGTCAATTAAGTTAGGTTAGATATAAAGTACCCAACTACAGTTGTTTGATGTACGCTCCCCTTTGTTAGATAGAACGCTAATTCATGCTGAGCAGATGTTGCATTTTATTAAAACAGTTAGGCTACTCGACATTGATGTAAAGATAACAGCACTTTTGCCACCGACATGCTGTTAAGATAGGGTGGATTGGACAGAAATAAATTCTGCTTTAAATTTTGTTTATAAAATTCAAAACTATTTTTTAATTAAAATAAAGCTACTGTAGTAGTAATAATTATCAGTCTGATATGGATACAGCATTTTTAAAGATTTGTTTCATGCAAGCAGATGTAGAGAGTACAAGTTGCTTAATTATTAGCCTTTGCTTATAGGAATTTCCTTTTAGTTGATTGGCTGAGTGCCAGGCTAGAGACCAATATGTCATTAGTTTGAACCACAGAGGTGGCATGGTGTTTTTTCTCACTCCATTCTATATTTTCATGTGTAACAGTTATTTTTATATTAACGAAAAGGAACCGAAGTTCAAAGAGGTTCATATAGTTTCATCCTTTAAAATTTCTATTGTAAACAGTCCATCACATATGACTCAAAAGCAGGAATACATTTATTGTAACACAATCGTTCATTTTTTTTTCACAACCTGTCGGGGTCAGGATAGGTCACTACACGTTATTACTATTAGCTACGGCAATTGACATCTGGCTAAATATACAAATGAGATATTTATGGATTGACGATTGTGCTTATGTTGAAGAAAATTATTCTCTGACTAATCAAAAGTTATTTACATGGTGAGTGAATTAGAAGTACAGTTGATAGCAAACTTTTGACTTTCGAACTACTATTAAATGTGATTTTGTCTACATTTCACAGGAAATATAATATTACCGGGTATCACTTTCACCAATGAGTTTGCATTTATATTTTTCTTTTTCAGGGTTGATTTCAATGTCCCCTTGAAGGATGGTAAAATAACTAACACCCAAAGGCAAGTGTTGATTTTACTGAAACCATACAAATTTAACCTTTCTGCTGGAGTTTTCATTGAATTAATTACAAACCAGTATAAAAAAATTAGTTGGCAACATTTGGAAAGAGTTTGATTGATATCAGAAATTTTCATATATTGCTAGAGATCATTATCAAATATTTTTAGTGTCTTCACTGGGATTACTAGTATAGTAAATTGCAAAGTTTGGGAATTTGGTTTAAATATGTATCAAAACTGTTTCATTGGGAATCAGGCCAATTTCAGCCCCAAAAAGATCTCAAAAAGCTGTGCAACTGATTCAGCTAAAGAGTTGATCTCTCTAGATTAAATCTCTATCGTTCCATTTTTGGTAGTACTGTTGCTTAGAACTTGAACCAATCCATTTTTTCTGTTTTACAAAGTTTGTTTATAATGATTTAACTAAATATTTTTTGAGAAGTATATGTGTTTTTGTGTAACAGAATTGTGGCAGCATTGCCAACGGTGAAGCATGCTTTAGATAATGGAGCAAAGAGTGTAGTGATGATGAGTCACCTCGGACGTCCTGATGGGCGTCGCCAGGACAAATACTCCCTCGCTCCTGTTGCTGCAGAACTAAAAAATCTTCTTGGAAAGTAAGTATATCATTTTAAAGCATTTGACATCAAGGACAGTGAATCATAATAGATGTGTAAGCTACTGATGTAAGAGTAGCTTGTCAACAAGGTTGGGTCCGTGATTGTTAGAAAATTAAAACATTAAGCTCTAGCAGTCAAGGTTCAGTCTTAAATTGTTGGTTAAATGCCAAGTTATATTGAAAATATAAACATCCTAAATACATCACAGCTTTCTTTTTTCACAACTTCGTGAATGAAGAACTTGGCTTTTAATTTGGTAAAAGTGTGATAAAAATGTAAATTTGGATAAAATGATAAAACACAAATATAGCAAAATTTAATCATAACCTGTAGGTTTATTTCTCCCCTGTGTCCCTTTTACTCTGATGAAGTAAATACAAAACATTCTGAAACATTCTGAACAAAGGGAAGGTGTACATGTTTCTGTTTGCGTTTTATATATAGAACTACAAATATTCATTTCAAATTCTGAATGCTAAGCATTTAAATGTCTCTTTTGTAGTATAACACTCTCTTCACTGGTCAGTTCTGAGTCAAGATATTTCAACTGTAGTGCATGCATATAATTTACTCTTTCTTTTTGAAGCTGATTATGATAACATACATATAGACATATAAAAGTGTTATTTTGGTGATTAGATTGCACAGTCTTGCCTTTTCACATAGCTGACCATGGTATATTTTCCTGTCCATACAAGAAAAGATATGGGGTTCACCTGTATGATTTCCCAAGGTACCCATAGTGACACCCCTTCATGCTTCCATACACAACAAGATCAACTACATATTTAAAATTGGTATAACATGTTTCACAATTGTTGTCAAATCAAGTCTGTATTTTAACATTTACATCTTTTTAGCAATTCAATTTTGGATTAAAGATTCAAAATTGCTTCACTCTTTGGGCTCGGATCCCAGTATTCTAGAACACCAAGTATTATTTCCTCTTTCGTTTAATAATAATCTATTCCATGCCTATTAGATTCAAATAAAAATGCTAATAAAATCTATTTCATTGTCCTGGGATGAGTCCAATTCTAACTCATGCTCTGAGTCAAAAATTTATGTCTTGACTTTCTGAGCATATTATAACTAGAATCTCATCAAATTGTGGTGTGGTAATTACCTCCATTTGTTTGGACGAAAATATATAATTGTCAAAAGTAGAATACCCTGAATGTATTCAAGTTTTGTTTTCAAGAAATGCACTTTCCTTCAATAAACTGAATTTGAACTGCTTTTTGATTTAATTCTCTTGCTTATTGTTATAGAGATATTCAGTTTCTGAATGACTGTGTCGGTGAAGAGGTGGAAGCTGCTTGTGCGAACCCTGCTCCAGGGTCAATCATTCTCTTAGAGAACTTACGTTTCCATGTGGAAGAGGAAGGCAAGGGTGTGAATGCTGAGGGTGTTAAGGTAATGTGGGACAATGTTTTAGCCTAACATTAGGTCATGGACATGTTTTGTCCATGGTCTGTGTGTTAATCTGTTCCATAGGCAATTCTTGTTACAGCTATTCCTACAGAATGTTTTCAGCTTTATCAAATTCAGGATGACAAGTTACCATTTCTCCGCCAGCACTGTCAATGAGTCACACACGTGTTCTTGTCCATTCCTCTGGAATACCATGTGTGTCCTCCTCAATTAGCGTCGGGATTGATGCTATTTTGAGATTTCAATGCCAACAGAAGGTTTTATAACATTTGCTGGAAATTTATTCAAATTCAGGATGACAAGTTTGTAATTAGCTGCTATTTTGAGATTTCAATGCCAAAGAAGGTGATCTTATAACATTTTGGAAATATTCAGACTACAAAGTAGTAATGAATTTTATACAGGAATGTTCGGGCCCCACATTACTTTACCAGATTTCTCCTGCAATAAATGAAATAAAAATACCTGGTAATTATAGCTTCAGGGAATCATATCATTAGGGATACAAGTAAGTCAGTGCTGTATAATTCTACAATACTATTTAGATTTCTGTAGAGATTGTTCCTTGGCAATGGTTCAAATCTACAAGGAGGTAAGTATTTTTCACAGAAATAGAACATTGTCTCTGATTATATTTTCAAGGTACTGAGAATCGTTAATTTTTGTGGGTTTTTTGTTTATTTCTTGGTTACTTGAAATACATGAATTCATATGTCCACTGTTACAGTTAGTACATATCTGCAGATTTATCAGGTTATATCAATCCACGAAATACCAGTGCTAAGGAAATAGTGATTTTTTGAAAAACCATGAAAAATTCAGTCCCTCAAAAATAATCTGATTTTTAAAGGCACAAAATAATGGAATTCTCTTCCAGATTGTATTAAAAGTATATCAAAAAAGCTTAAGTTCAAAAGCCAAGTGAAATGTCACTTTCAAAACAAAATGCAAGAGAATCATGATAGTTATTAGGTATATTATTGAGGGAAATACATTTGTAAATCCATTTTAAGGACCCCAATGGAAATAAACATTTTAACATTTTTTTTGGGAAATCCTAGGATAGATGTACTTTTGTCTTTATTAATAATGATAACTAGCTGATACATTAAAGATATAGCTAACAACTTATTTCTGATTATGTATAACATGTTATATGTGCCATATATTCATGTTTTGTATACAAATTTGCACATATTTATCCTGAATAAATTTATTATTATATTCTTATTATTAAATTTTCATTATGTGTAAAATATAGTTAATTTTACATTACCTTTTTTAACTTAATTATTTCTATCACATGTTACAAGAAGCATTGTGACTCAGGTCACCATTAAGGTCCTTGGCCTCTTTTATTACCAAGTTGCATTACATATTTCTTAGATTTGTATATTTTATACTACAGGTCAAGGCTGACAAGGAAGCTGTTGCAGCATTTAGGGCCTCCCTTTCAAAACTTGGAGATATTTATGTCAATGATGCGTTCGGCACTGCCCATAGAGCACACAGGTATTTTTATGTCAATGATGTTTTTGGTTCTCCCAAAAGAGCACACAGGTATGGTTATGTCAATGACGTTTTTGGTACTCCCTAAAGAGCACACAGGTATTTTTATGTCAATCATGTTTTTGGTACTCCCTATAGAGCACACAGGTATTTTTATGTCAATCATGTTTTTGGTACTCCCTAAAGAGCACACAGGTATAGTTATGTCAATGATGTTTTTGGTACTCCCAATAGAGCACACAGGTATGTTTATGTCAATGATGTTTTTGGTACTCCCTAAAGAGCACACAGGTATGGTTATGTCAATGACGTTTTTGGTACTCCCTAAAGAGCACACAGGTATGTGTATGTTCATAGCGCTGCCCATAGAGCACATAGGTATGCTTGTCCATGTCACTTAAGCACTGCTCATAAAACACACAGGTATGTGTATATTCATAGCACTGCTCATAAAACAAACAGGTATGTGTTTGTCAGTAATGTTTTCAGTATTACTCATACAACACACAGGTATGTGTAAGTCCATGTCACTAAAACTCAGCCCATAGAGAACATGTATGCCACTTAAGTATTGCCCATAGAACACAGGTATGGGTATGTAAATAATGTTTTTGACAATGCCCATAGAGCACATAGGTATGTATATGTCCATGATGCTTAAGCAGATATTTCAGGCCTGTCTACATACTGACTGGTTGTAGCTGGTCAAATATTTGATGTCTTATTGATGAAATTGAAAACTTTCATTTCTAAAACTAAAATATTTCTTTTTCAATAAAGCTGATACACCTTACTTTCACATTTCTTCTCAACAGCTAGTCATTCAAGTACCTGAACAACTTGGTTTTGATATTTGTTAGCCCACTATCTGATGTACTTGAATTGACCTGTGTCCCTAGTCCATTGTCTGTTTGTCATCGGTTGACAGCCATCAGTGTTTTTGTTATTGCTTTTTTTTGGGAGGTACTGGATGGATCTTTCTTGGATATCCTTTGGTTACTAGTTGTGCCTTTTAGATTGTGCCACTGATCAGATAAACAAAATGACCCATAGATAGTTGTCTTAATTTTTTTACTGTGAAAGTTTTTATCACTTTTTTCTTGAGAAATACTGGATGGACTTTTAAAACATTTGATCTGTAGGTTACATCCTAAATGTGCTATATTGATTTTATTTTTGATCAGAGATTTAAATTGGCCAACAGGCAACCATCTTGGATTTAGCATTCTTTCATACTCCAGTTATTATAACCATTTTCACTCACTGCACCCCTGGAACATTTCATGGCAAAATTAAAGGCATATGCATAGTAATTTGATTGATCTAGAGCAGAGTTTAGGAGAAAAAATCTGACCATCACAGACTGAAAAGTTGCTTCAAAGATTGCAAAGGCATGGCACTCAACTTCAAAGCCAGTACAACATATCCTTATGTGACCTGGTGATGTGTGTGGTGTACATCAAAGGATCAAATTAGTATTCTCATCTTATCCACAAGGCGTGGCACATAGAACCTTCAGCTTGGCTTTGAAATGTTCCACGGTGCAGAGAGCAATAGTGAGTGTAACCCCTGGAGTATGGAGGATGGGATTTAGCAGTTAAAGTTTTTTTAAGAGGAATTTTCCAATTTCAGAGAAAAGGGAAAGTTTAAAAAAAATTCAGATCAAACAATAGCAGAGAGATTTTGTGTTTATTCTCATTATTTATCCTATTTTATACCTCATTATTGCATCTATATATTCATTTAACCTGATGTGATATAATATAATGAAACTATGTCCAACAACTTCAGATGGTCGCAATAAACACACATAGGCAGTTCATGAAAATTTCTAAAATTCACCTCAGGAAATTTGTATATAAATGTCACACCTGTATTTGTAATATTCACTATTCTATGATGACATTGACAATGTTTAATTTGTATTCATATAGTTCTATGGTGGGCTGTGAGCTGTCTCAGAGAGCTTCAGGTTTCCTCCTGAAAAAAGAACTGACATATTTCTCCAAGGCCCTGGACAAACCAGTAAAACCTTTCCTGGCCATTCTTGGAGGGTAAGAACTCCAGTGAGCTTAATACAATGTAATACTGTTACTGATTCCATGTGTTTCCAGATCATGTTGGTATCATCTATACAGAATGTAGACAATGTAAATGTATTGTTTGATTTGGACAGGTTTTCTGATTATATAGGGATAACTTGATGACAAGGTCAATTTGTTAAGTGACAGTTCACTGTTACAGTAGTTATTTTTAATGACTACATAATGATTTATCTACCTACAAGTTCAGGAGCAAAGGACACATATTTCTCTAAATTGTCCCATTAAAATAGAAAAAATCACCATGTTATTAGGGAATATCCTTGTTGTTTGCTTGTTTTTGGCAAAAAATGTCCAGATGTTTTAAAATGCAGATAAATAACTGGGTACTACTTTTCACTTTTGTTGGAATTAAAGAGATTTAAGCCAATTTTCTCAGTACAAAAGACATTTCCTCTGTGTGAAAGATGTTTTCTACATATGGAAAACATTTTCTTTTCATAAAAGACATTTTCACCATGAAAAGAGAACATTTTCTACATGTGAAATACTATTTCTATGTATAAAAGGCATTTTCATCATGTAAAAGACATTTTCTCCATTTAAAAGGCTTTCTTTTTAACTTTTGGTAAAACAGTTAATATTTGAACAATTGGAAAAACAGACAGTACACAGTGTATTTGATCTTCATGAAAAAGATAAAATGAATAAAATTCTTATGATAATATATTTTTCATTTAAATATTCATAATGATTTATCATTGATATGGCATTCATTTCAAGCATGTGGTTGAATGAAGATGTGTGTTGAATAATGACAAATTTTGTATTAGGTAAACTAGATAAATAATTAAAATGACCCCAGAAGTTTAGGTTAAATAAAACATAGATTGTAATATAGATTGTGTATGCTTTTTTTAAAGGGCAAAGGTGGCAGACAAAATCCAGCTTATAGAGAACATGTTAGACAAGGTTGATGAGATGATCGTAGGCGGTGGGATGGCCTTTACCTTCCTTAAGGTCCTAAAAGATATGGAGGTGAGGCTCAAAAAGTACAACCAGCTGTGGATGTTGTGAGAATAAAAGTGAGGAGAACTAGTTTGTTCGTTTGGTGGGTTTATAACACACTGAATAGTCACGCAGGGTGCCATGCTTATTTTCACATTCTTTGGTATGGTTGTATGTTGTCAATGGTCATAATTATACATAACGTTAATCATGATGGTCTTGATTGTTGGAGGTAATGTACACTGGCATACAAGGCCTGCCTGTGACAGGTACATGGATGTGTGTGGGGCACTTATGATTCATTTGTCACTGGTGTATTCGTAATTGAGAAGAAACAACCATTTCATTTGGTTTAAAGAGTTTCTCTAGAAATGAGACACAGTGATGAATTTGAAAATTAAAAAGTGGAAAAATTAATCGGGAATGTTTCTATCTGTTAAATTTTTTATAGATTGGAAACTCGTTGTTTGATGAAGATGGAGCAAAGATTGTTCAGAAACTTGTTGATAAGGCAGCAGCAAACAATGTGAAGATCATTCTCCCTGAAGACTTTGTAACAGGTGACAAGTTTGCGGAGGATGCAGCTGTTGGTAAAGCTACTGTTTCATCTGGAATTCCTGCTGGACATATGGTAATCTTCTATTCATAACCTTCATTTGTCTGAAAAGAGCATGTCTTGAAATAAGCATTCTTAGGAATATTACTGCTCAGTGAAATTAAAATCCACTTTACCTTTATTATCATGCACTAAGCATGTCCGATACTCTGATTAAGAAATACTGTGTTGACACTTTGGATTTATTGTAGTGTTCCTTTCAGTATTGGAAAATCTTAGATATTGGTGTAAATAGGATGGGAATTCCTTTAGCAGGGACTGCTGAGTTTTACATTACTTGTTATTGCAGGGCTTGGATATAGGACCAGAATCAGCTACATTATTCTCTGAAGCAATAGCAAGAGCTAATACCATCGTTTGGAATGGGTAAGATGCAAAGTGATCATAACAAGGAGTCAAGGGTCACTTGATTCTAACATATCAGAATGTTAAGAAAAAGTTTTTTGAAATTTCTGACAATTTTGCCCAACCCATCAACTCCTTGGGGGTTAGCAAGAGTGAATATGTGCATACCCCACCCCTTAAAACATCATTATAAACTAATAACGCTTTCCAAATTTAAAATATTTCAAATCAACACTATGCAAATTATGCTCAAAAATGTAATGTTCCTAGATAAACTAAACTAAACTTTACCCTTCCAAACGTGAAATTCAGAACCCTGGGGGTGAAGACATTCACAAGGTAAAGCATCCATGAAGGATATTTGATTCTACCATGTTTGGGTGTTGAGAAGAAGAATTTTGAAGTTTGAATCAGTTAACCCTGTTTTGCCTTGCCAATTAGCAATTGTAAAGCATGGAAATAGTCATTTGTTGTCTCAAAAATAATTCTGACGAAATGAGTCAATACATACACAGAGTAGAAAGTCATTTGTGCATAATACTTGGCTAAGTACCACGTATGGGTCCATCATACATATAGTACTTGGTCTCTAGTGATTACCACTTTAATTATCCAATTAAAAGCTGACTCCTTAATTAGTATCATTATCCTAAAGCAGTGACTTACTTGTACACGTTTAACAAGTAGCGCATTTACACAAGACATGAAAACATGCATGTATCTTTAGCAACTATGAAAATAAAACCATCAAACCAGCATGAATTTTTTGACAAAAGTTGATCCCATTGATTCCAAGAGAAACTAATTTTTGAGCTTGTTTACTATAAGACTGTGATCAGGCACTTTGCTACTTCGCTTACCATATCTTGGTGTTGAGAGGGGATTTTTGAACTTTGAGTCAGTATGGCCCCTTTTAGCATCGTCTCTTAAGTCCCTTGGGGATGAGAATCATAAAAATTTGCAATCATTGTTTAATCTTTGGAGAGGGATGGAATTTCTTGAAAAACTTCATTGGAATGGGTGCAGGGGTTTTAAGAAGTCAAAAATGTTCAAATTTTATGAGGCATGTTAGCACACAAAATGTGATGCAGTAGGTTACTATGGGACTTTGTTTTAGATGACCTAACAATAACTGCTGTATTTCTTAATAACAGGAACTGTGATCCACATTTAAATACTGTTAGATTATTAAAGCAGTTCTTGCTAAAAGAAGATGGTCGTTATTAATTTTGGCCGGGGTTTTCATTCTAGTATAATTCAGTGTTAGCTGACGTCAACACTTGTCATTACAGTCCTCCTGGTGTCTTTGAGTTCCCTAACTTTGCTGAAGGGACAAAGACAGTAATGAATGCAGTGGTGGAGAGTACCAAGAGGGGAGCCACAACAATCATTGGTAAGTATACATACATCTATATATCATCAATGTCCGACAATATTCCTTCAGTAATCAGTCAAATCCAGGGTAAAGAGCCAAACTCCATTTATAGCAGTTTTGATTGCAATGATATTGTCCTGTTGTTACCCCAACTCCCTATATAAAGTCAGGTGATGGCTCTGTGGATGATAACCCTGTTTTGACAATGAGAATTATTTTCAGGTGTACAATTGATGTAAAGAAATCAAATAATTCAATCTTAATTTCACATCTCTAAACATCATATTTTGTATGGTGAGCAACTTGACCTGTATTGTTAAAATGATAGCCATTGTAGAACTCTCTTGATGCATCAAATACTTTTTTAACATCTGACACTGAAAAAGTAAAATTCATTTGAGTCAAATTCTAGTTTGTTCTCATGTACCTATTGTACTTATTGTTGTATTTATCAACACTGTTGAGGTTTACAGAGGCAGCTTAAATATTATACTGGTAGAACTACTCAGAATTGGAAATTTCTAAATTTGAATATTACTATTACAGGTGGAGGTGACACAGCAACATGTGCAGCAAAGTATAAAACAGAGGACCAAGTCAGCCATGTCAGCACTGGGGGTGGAGCCAGTCTTGAGTTACTGGAAGGTTAGTTATCAAGAAGTCAAATCAAACATATATTCAGGCCCTTCTTTTGGAGAATGTTTTGTCAACGATTGTCTCATCATGTAGCCATGTCGTACTGTTATAAAATCTTTGTTTTTAAACAGGTCTCACTGTACCTAGATCAAAGTGTTTTGTCCCAGTTATTTGTGTCAAAAATAGGGATACTGTATTTTCTGTATTCCCTGATTTTACAAATTTAATTGTTGTCTTCCAGGTAAAGTTCTGCCAGGTGTGGATGCACTATCAGATGCCTAGATGTCCTCCATTCTTCACATTGTTGAACTTTGACCTCAAGATAATGAGATTTTGCACAACCTAAAAGCTGTTCCATGTTAAGGGCAAGAGAATGCTTCTTCATAACTTTTGTTCACATGATCAGTACACATTCCTGGTGGATAGTGAACATGTGGAGATGTATGCAGAATTTGCTTTAATATGGTAACCTCCAAGTTAGAAAGGCTTGGCTACCAGATAGTTTATATTTGAAGTTATCACCCAAATGTTAAAGCTTGGAAGCTAGCTGGCAAGACTCTTTGTCATCTTGCTAAAGACTCTTAGCTTTCAGCTATTATTTGAATGCTTTAAACTCTTGGGTCACTGAAAAGTTTGTCACCATAGGAATACTGAGGGAAATCACTGGTACCACTAATTCCATTCTGAAATGTCAGGGTCTAATCTATTATTAATATTACAGCTATGAAAAACACTTTACTTGTCTTTTTAGGAGTATTTGAAAAAGATGTATGGTTTAAGAATTAGTATTTAGTATAAATGGGTTTTTTTTTGCTTTATTTTAGTTTATTGAAATGCAACACAAATCGTCCATGGCTGCTGAATTTTTCAACATGTAGCAATTCTTGTCATTTGTTGTAAAATTTATGTCTTTACTTTGGATGTCTATTAAGTACTGTCTTGGTTAATAAAAGCACAACCAATCTAATCCTATATCCTACAGTTCCACCCTTGATCTATTCTGCATGAGAGCAGGACTCCTGGAAGTATGTCCAATCCTAGATCATGTTTATCAGACTGGAAATTGTCAGAGTGAGCTTTTGGTGATTTGGGTAAATTAAAGTGTACATTGGAGTGGCATTATCAAAATTAAAAAAACATCTGGTTGTCTGTAATAATTAAGTAATAATACATCAAATACTGTTAGAGAGTAACAGGTTCTGTTTCCTTGCTTCATATATTTTAAAAGAGCAGTCAATAGTTGTCAAGACACTCCCCTTACACATATACAGAAATAAGTGCTAAAAGACTGTCATTAGTACATGCTGGCTGTTGTATGGCATATGTTCTTTGCGGTTTTGACAGTAAAAATTACCTCCCTTGAACCTTACCTGTCGTACACAACAGATAGAGGTATCCCTTGTATATCATTGTATAAAATGATACAGATTTTGTCTTGTTTGTTTTGCTTAGTATGTGTATATATAAAAACATTTAAATAATAATTTATTATTTATGATGTCATATTAAAATAAGATATCAATAAAATATTCTGTCATATTTTGTACAAATGTTGTTGTTGGAAACAATTTCAACTGAAAGGAGCTATCAGCCATATATTGCTGGTCCAGAAAGGAAACAAGTGAAATTAGTAAATGCAAGTCTGTGGTATATGACACATGGGATAAACTAGAGTTATGTCCCTTTGTGATAGTAAAACTAGCGTACAGCTAGGTAGTATAAGTGGATATTAGACCAGTGAATACCATTAACTGTGTACTACACAATCCTACACAATCGTACATGTCCGAACATCAAATATTTCATCTAACAACTAGTATAACAATAAACCAGCTGGTCACGTCCTTAATCACCATTAAAGATCGGCCATGGGGAGTTAACAAAAGGAGAGATGATATCATACATCCCGTGTAGTCAATGTTTACTTTTATTGGAATAATTGTAATGCAGTTCAATGAATATAGCTGATATATTTTGGGTCAGGGCCAGATGTGATTGATTTAGGATTATTTTACACCAGCACAAACTATAAGCTTAATAGATGACGTCATATCGTGTCTGTCTTGGGATGATTCGATATATGACGTCATATTGTGTCTATCTTGGATTATTCTATATGTGACGTCATATTGCGTCCATCTGAGATGATTCGATAGATGACGTCATTGTGTCCATCTGCGATGATTCGATAGATGACGTCATACTGTGTACATCTCCCGACAGGCCACAATAATTCCCAAACATCATTAAGGTAGACAAACGCCCATAACGTAGGATTATGTATTGACTAAAGAATATGGACGACGGAAGAATTTTGGTGAAAGTGCACCAGTAGGTAAGATACACAGCACGTTGATGACAATACATACATAAGCGTCCCATGGTGTGTACAAGTTTATTCCATTCAACCTTGATCAGTAAATGAAAGGTGTAAAAGTCTGGAATGGTTTGAAGTGTGTTTAGAGAATGGTTCAGAGAGTATCATAATCAAGCAAAAGAAACAGCGAATGTTAACCCACAAAGGAGTGTTTTGGAACCGACTCTCCTCATTCATTTGATAATCTGTAATAGGTGGTGACTAACTTACTAAACAATAAAGATGACCCGTCGTACGCCATTCAGAACAATCAGGGTAAAATATCTCGGCATGGGCACAACCACATCAGCACGGTTTGTTTCGCAGCTTCTTGAGACTACCTCCTAAAGGTTTAACAAAGACTTTTTTCAAAGTTTCAATTCAGGCTTTGACTGAAATTTCATTATATTATTTCTACTCGGATTACCAGACCCTGATGTCGATGTTGGTTTCAAGTCTGTCGAGGAGGTCTGAGCTATAATCGTGAAAACACAGCCAAAGTAAAACGTGTTTGACACCAGTTCTATCAGTAACCATAGTTACCTCTGACACGTGTTTCTTTCTGTTCCGTGATGAATAAAAAAACAGGGTTGTCGACGTCACACGGTTAATGATTCTTAGATTTTGAATGTTGTTTGAGAAACAAACATTTCACAGCAATCATGCTTTTTACTTTATCTGTATAATACTGTCGATTTATTCATTTATCCAACAGGTTTTCCGTTCGCTATTACGAACATTCGGGCTTTTCAGCATACAAGCTGGAAATAGAAGGTCAGTCAGATTTAAAGATTGTAGGCTTGTGTAGGCTTTTCAGTATACAAACTGGAAATTGGTCATTTAGATTTATAGGTTGTAGGCTTGTGTAGGCTTTTCAGGATACAAACTGGAAATAGGTCATTTAGATTTATAGGTTGTGGGCTTGTGTAGGCTTTTCAGTATACAAACTGGAAATAGGTCATTTAGATTTATAGGTTGTAGGCTTGTGAAGGCTTTTCAGGATACAAGCGGAAATAGAAGGTCAGTCAGATCTATAGGTTGTAGGCTTTTGTAGGCTTGTCCACTATAAATCTAAGCGACCCTCTTTATCCGTTTCATGATGTACGCAGTTTTATAACCGTTACATGAATTACTCAAAAATCACTAATTTTCTTGAGGAGGAAAGTGGTGAGGGGTGAGGGTTAATTTCGTGGATGCGTTTAACCAACCAATTCATATGTCCATGAACTGCAAAATGAGTATACATAGATTTCTGAAAATCAAGTGCCCACGAAAAAGTATTTTTTTAAACAACGAAACTGAATCCTACAGTATTGATAATGCATTTATATTAGTAGCCAAATAACGTATTTGTTCTGTTCATCCAAATATCAGATATGTTTGAATGAAATCATATGTAATTACACAACACTCGTTACTATATATAGGGGAAATTATTATTTAACGACTCGTCAATGAGATTATCAAATTCATTTCAAACTATCACATGTAATTTGTTATTTGTATATCAATATCTTTACAAGTGGTATACAGAAATATACAATTTATATACAGAAATACAGAGCGCATGTGTGGCTATACAGAGAAGAGAATGTATCATAGATGAAATGTACTTTGTTAAATTTATAATTACTCATACATGCATGATTAATTTTCTTATGGAAGGTACTTTTCGTTTTTAGGAAAGTAACTTTTTAAGATAACACGATATTTTAAACACGCTACGTCTAATAATGATTAATTTCGATGATTGTAAGTTCATAGTAATGACGTCACGTCACGAATTGAAATTTGGTTTTGTCCTCTATATCTTTACTTTCAAACCTATCAAAATATAGCTGAGTCTTGTGATAAAAAGTGTTTTAAATTTGTTTCCATTTCAAAAAGGATTTGATGAAATTCGTCTCGAAGTTTAGAGCTTTACACTCCAAGGCTCTCAAAACTAAAAGTTCTAGGACCCGTTTCATAAAATCTCATATGCAATGAAAACTCAAATATATATATATAAGCCATATTAACGTCACTTTTTAATAAAGAGAAGGTTCGTTTTTCGGTCGACAAGTCGACCACTGGCTCCATCGCCGCCAACACATATATATTGCTACTTTAAAACGAAACCAATTTTCGAACAATATTTCACACAGGTTATGTTTGATAACGTTTAAGCGTGAATCAAAGTTGTTGGAAAGGATGTAAGCTTTCTGAGAATATTATATCCAACATTCGCGGAGAGTGTAAGGTTGTAGTTGTGTGTTGGAGGAGATCAGATTACACAGCCTTGTCTGGTTGGCTACTCCACACACAAACTGTTAGTAAATCTTCTCACATCCCGAATGTCTTCGGTAGATAGTGCTAATTTGGCTATATATCAACACAATGAAAAAGGCAAAGCGTAACAAACACTGTGACGTCATTGATATTGTCGTGAACGTCGCCAAGCAACCTGAACAAGGAGGCTGACAGGAATGGCGGGACCCGAAAGGTATTTACTTTATCGGATTCGTACAATTATTTTGACTGGAGTATAATCGTGGTTAAATAATGTTTAACACATTTACGGTTTGGTTAATTGTACAACACTTCAACAAAACTTGTCTTGCAAATATTTGATATGAATGTTCTATATGTTCCGTTTGATCTAAACCTATTTATTGTCAACATAAGAACAAGGAAGGGACGAGACACAAATTAACTTATTTACATTTTCTCCCAATATAAATGCAATATGCAGTTAGACACACCAGCACTTCTATTGTGAAGATGTATAATAATTCAAGTTGTGATTAAACTGAAGCACAGTTTTGTTTTAAATCAAATTTCAAACAAAAAACGATTAAAGATGATTGACGCTATAATGTTGACGACCTCCCAATCCCATTTTATATAAGTGATAACTTGTTGCTGTAATGCATGTACGGTCGAACAGTGTTAAAAACTCGCCATCTGGTAAGAATAACTTGTAAGTCATTGGTATGTTGACAGGTGAAGTTTGTTGATACAGGGACCTGACCAAAGACAGATAGACCATGAAATGTAAGTAAACAATATATTTATCGTTAAAGCGTTAGGCGGAATCATAGATTTCCACAAAACAATTCTACTGTACGTTTCCCATGATTAATAATTTGAATTGACCACGACGTATATGGTAGGAGTCGTCGATAATGCAGAAGACGATTCATCCGTACACTTTCTGGTGTTAATATTTTTATTTTTATTGAACTTGAGTTTGGATTATGATTATATTAGTATGTGTGCATTTTCTTGTTTTTAAATGTACCCAAACACCCACAACTAACGGGCTTCTTTAGTTTTGTTGTACAACCCAGTCTAAATGTGTCCTTTCATTCGATAGATCAGGTGCTTACCCGAAACAGGTCTGTGATAAGCCTTCAAGAAGCGGAACACCAGGCGGCCGTCTTGGATGCCAAACAGGACTTGGAGAGGATACAGCAAGCGGTCCGAGAATGGCGTAATAAGAAAGACGTAAACACAGACAATGTCGATGACACCGGTAGAGATAATGGCACAACAGATCCCTACACAAACAGTGACCAAATCGGGGCTACTACCAAAACATCACGGTCAAATTCACAAAATAATCTATCATGGACTGACGGGAAAGAATTTCGACCTCTAATGATTCCAGAAATCAACTCCCAGTCCATCAGAAAATGCTTTTCGGAGTTCAAGTTGTGTGTTGACCGAGAGGTTGGAACTGGTGTCAGTGTCGGCGATATATTCCAGGAGGCTTCATTGCTTCTCAGGAAGGGATCATCGAACACCAACGCAGCAGCTAATATGATGCGTTATCTGAAACCATTAGGAGCGGAAACCAAGCATTACACGACTCCCAATCAGTCGGCCAAAAACTCACCCCGGGATAATCTGGTGTGGCAGCAAATGCAGGAGAAAAGAGCTGACCAGGGAGACGGGAGAAGGGTTCAACAGCAGGCAACAACTCCAGTATCACAGGACGAGTTGAATTCACCGAATACCTCGCAAAGCAATATTGAAGGAGACACGCCAAGACAGCGTTGCGAACAGAAGGATGCTAATGATGATATTGATCAAATAGGCTCCATGCCCTATTGTCACGGCAGATGTGGTATAGTAGAGGTACTACCAACTATTATGGAGAAAGTTTCTCCTACAGCTAGCTCGTCTCAAAGGTCATTTGCTACCTCTTCCGGTTCTGACGACAGCCTCAAGCGGAAAAACGCAATAATCAAAGTTAAGAAGGGAGCAAATACTGCGGCCTTAGCTAAGTGTTCATTGTGCGAACGATTCGGGTCTGATAGTCAGATCATATTCTCAATAGACAATGTAAAATATACATTTTCAAAAAATGGACAAAACAGACTCGAGCCATACACTGGTGGAGGCAGCGTTAAGAAAACCGTCAGTGCAAATGACGACAAAATGAGACAAATTCATACAGGAAAACCAAGCAACGTTGTTTCTAGTGCCACGCCGTATGTAAAATATGAAAATAAGAATACCCATCTCCCACCAATCAACTCCAATCCCGGCAACTCAAACACAATCTCTGAGACAAATCTTGTGAAACAAAAACATCCACCAAGAGTTTTCCTGCCTCTCTTAACACCCAAAGAATATCCCGTGGACCGGAAATTGCGTCTGTCTGACGCTTGTCGTGCCGACAACAAGAGGCTTCCTCCTATTCCGAGCCATGTTGTACTGAAAAGGAAGAATAAGAAACCAAAAACTCAAAGAGGAGAAATGCTTACAACACATTCAAATTTGTTATTCGGGTGTAAGCTTCCCCCATTGAAACTACCGGAAGTATGTGGGCACGGTAAATCGAGTATTCCGCAGAAATACCAAGGATACCAGTCTCCCTTTAATGAAAGCATCAGAAATAATAGCCGTTGCGAACAAACAGAGCGGACTAACGAAGCGTGCGACACCGGAACCATGACAACAGGGGTAGATCACATGACTGATAACACCGAAGAACCCTTTCATCTTCTGGTAAAGATTCCCACCATGGAAACATCGTTTCTTGACGAACCAAGAACCCCAAGGAAACGGAAGGTTTCGAAACGTTCGAAAACAGGAAAACATTGAAATAATCATGTTCTGAAAAACTGCGATCTGACAATTACTTTATATAAATGAAAGAAAGAGAAAGATAAAAAGAAAAAGAAAACAGTGAAACTGAAGATTTTATTTAGATAAAAGAAACGATAGAAAAAAAGAAAGAAATGCCATATTAATAATAACAACTAAATAACATTCGCGGATTTATTTACATTAAAATTTAAATGTCATGTGAAGCAATGAAATTTGTTATTTATTTTGACAATGCCCTGAATTATTTTTGTGCGAAAATGTTAGACCGTGGAAACAGGGATGGTATTCTGACTTTATCTCACTGCAAACTGTATACAATAAAAATTGAAAACATGACCCCAAATGAATTTGCTGCCCTTTACATTGCATTTCTTGAGATCTTGCTTTTTCTTGTCAATCTTTCGTGTACGTTGGTTTTTTTCATATCTTGGTTTCATGCATGACCCCTAGCTGTTGTGCTAAGGTTAAACCCCAGAAAAGACACGGAAACGTTAATATTTCTTAAACAAATAGACATAGTGTGTACGTGAAAAAAAGGCTGATCATGTAACATGATTACAATACAACCTCGTAAATGCACATTACCTTCAGTTTACATAGTGTAGCTAAAAAGAGACATGATTCACTTCATTGATCCCGGTCCTACCTTCTGACCTACCCAGCAGGCCCTACCCTACCTGTTCCGTCTGTGTACTTTCCCTGACCCAGGTCCTACCTTCTGACCTACTCACCAGGCCCTACCCTACCTGTTCCGTCTGTGTACTTTCCCTGACCCAGGTCCTACCTTCTGACACACTTCTATTTCGCTGGCCATGTTCTGCTTGCCAAACTTAAGTCAGTGGTCCTAACTGGTTCTACCGTTTAACACGCTTTCCTAACCCCGGTTCTGACGCCTGACATTCGTCCAAGACCCTAGCATTTGTCTTACCGTCTGGATACTTTCACTGACCCCGGTCCTACAGTCTGACATACTTCCTAGGCTCACCCTACCTGTACCGTCCATGTGCTTTCCCTGATCAAGGTCATACCGCCAGTACTTTCTCTGACCCGTGACGCCAGTCAAGCCGTCTGGCATATTTCCCAGGCCCTACACTACCTGTACCGTCCGTGTGCCGTCCCTAATCCAGGCCCTACCACCGGTACTTTCTCTGACCCCGGTCCTACCGTCTCTATTCTTTCCAGGCCCTACCTTCCTGTACCGTCCGTGTGCTTTCCCTGACCCAGGCCATACCGCCTGGGTACTTTCTCTGACCCCGGTCTTACCATTTCTATACTTCCCAGGCCCTATCTACCTGTACCGTCCGTATGCTTTCTCTGACCCCGGTCCTACCGTCTCTATAATTCCCAGGCCCTATCTACCTGTACCGTCCGTGTGCTTTCCTTGACCCAGATGATACCGCCTGGGTACTTTCTCTGACACGTGACCCCGGTCAAACCGTCTCTATACCCCCAAGCCCTACCCTACCTGTACCGTCCGTGTGCTTTTCTTGACCCATCATACCGCCGGTACTTTCTCTGACCCGTGAACTCGGTCAAACCGTCTCTATAGTTCCTATGCCCTACCCTACCTGTACTGTCCGTGTGCTTTCCTTGACCCAGATCATACCGCCTGGGTACTTTCTCTGACCCGTGAACTCGGTCAAACCGTCTCTATAGTTCCTATGCCCTACCCTACCTGTACCGTCCGTGTGCTTTTCTTGACCCAGATCATACCGCCGGTACTTTCTCTGACCCGTGAACTCGGTCAAACCGTCTCTATAGTTCCTATGCCCTACCCTACCTGTACCGACTGTGTGCTTTCCTTGACCCAGATCATACCGCCGGTACTTTCTCTGACCCGTGAACTCGGTCAAACCGTCTCTATACCCCCAGGCCCTACCCTACCTGTACCGACTGTGTGCATTCCTTGACCCAGATCATACCGCCGGTACTTTCTCTGACTCGTGAACTCGGTCAAACCGTCTCTATAGTTCCTATGCCTACCCTACCTGTACCGTCCGTGTGCTTTCCCTGACCCATGTCTACGATATGTAAAAAATCCCTGTGAAAAGATTCTGCTTCTTTAAAACATGGACCAATCTCATGCTACCTATTGTACCCGCCCCCTGCTGTATGACGATGTAAAATACACAAACATTCACCGTCAAGCTTGCGATGCTTGTTTAATCCATGCGATTATCAATCGCTGTGGTCAGTTGTCACGTGACAAAGCTATCGTAATTTTACAAGTCCAATGTGAGTGCCCGTGGGTCAACTTCACTACGCGATATGCTTATGCGTTACAACTGTACATAAGTAAACAAATCTCGTTATCCGACCACCCGTGGCACGTATATACGCGTGTCACCCGGATATCACCTACCTCAGTTAACTTTATGCACGAGTTGGAACTGACGTGAGATTGACCCTTTAAAATCATCAATGATATTCTTACGTGTGGGATTATAAGAAGTGCCTTCCAAACAACCGCCTCTCACGTGGTATAAACACGTTCCTTGAATAAAGAGGTGTGTGCTTCTTTTAACGGACGTACAATGGAGAGTGCTCTTCAGATGCCGGGCTGGGTCCTTTACTGGTTCTACTCCACAGCCGTTATCTGCACATGGGATGCAAGCTTTATTGTTTTTCGACCTCACTCTCTCCCTGGGGGCAGCCTGGCCTCCATCTGGTACCTATGTGAGTATACACCTACTCGGGGACATTTTTATGTTACCCAGTGAAATTACATGTAGACAGAAATCTCTCTTTTTCCTTGAGTGGAGCCATTATCTATCCATCCACGAAGTTAAATGTCCGGGAACCGGTTGGAGGAGTACAGGGTCCATTAATTTAATTACTTAAGATATTGATACCTAAATCATGTCTTAATTCACTGAATGAGTCAACATCTAGTTTTAAATGTTCTGTATATTTGCTGGGAGTGTTTTCCAGTTCTTGTAACTGTGGGGAGTGAAGAAAAAACTGATAAATGTAGCGAGTTTGTTTACCTGATTCAAAGTCTTGATCTAATCGTGCTCGCGGATTTATCTAATGTAACATATTGTTCTCGTGGACCCGAGAACCAGATACACAATGTTTTCATAGTGAGCGTGTTGAATTTATACACAATATTAGCATCAGGTCGTCAGCCTGTACAAATATTCACTTGATTTTCCACTAAATCAATCACATACGAAAAGTATTGCTTGTCACTTCAACTTTCGTGTCGTCACGTGTTCTATATTTGACTCAAATACCTGTGCAGGTAACAGTCTAGACCCAGTAACACCTTACCGACTCTAATATTTATTACTTTACATGAAAGCCTACATGACCTTTAATTGAGCTTCAAGTCGTATAAGGTTTAGTTTTACGAGTTCGGCGAACAAATCTTTAAAAAAATCATGTTCAGAATGTGATAGATAAAGCTAACCATTTACAATGAAATATTCGTAAAACTTATTATGTAAATTACAACATTTTCCCGGTCGTCTTATTTCCATGTGGTCGTTTGTTACAATTTTAGTTTTAAAATTCATAAAAAAAAACATGACATTTTTGTGTTACCTTGTCAGTAAGTTGATCAAACTTTGATAGCTAGTCCGTGGACAATTTCGCATAAGTTTCACGTGACCTGTGAATTACAACACCGCTATATAATATCATGTTTTAACCACTAAACCACATACGAATTTGATTTCGCGTCTACCGAAGTCAACGTTGCGTTTACAAAGTTGTGCATTTACTTCTTTTAATTGCACTGGGATTTTTTTTAAATGTATAATATTCTGACACTTAACGAACCGATCTGTATAACATTGTTTTAATAATTTAAAAGCAATCTCATAGGTAACAATATTTTACACGAGATATTCCGTCATTGCTTCCAAAACAATAAAAACGCGCTCGGTAAATGTCAGATGATAGTCAATCTCGTTATGTCTAAATTCATTCAACAGTCATTATCTTTTTTTTCCACGTTGTCTCCTTTTAGTAAGTGGTGGCTACCACACAGAAATGTGCGAGAGATCCGTCGCATACATTCTTACGAAATCCAATTAAAGTGTCCTCCCGAGGGGCGTTATCTACAAAGTTTTCCGTGAAATACCAACTGTGCTACGGCGGCCAACAGACTGGACAATTCATGCGCGATGTGTTACTGGAGATTTTTTAATCTACCGACTCTGCAATAGGCATCTGTGTCTAGGTTATGTTTCAATGTATTGAATAGAAAGTTTGTCATACCGGATACGTATAAAAAAGAAATGAGATAATATCAAACTTCCTCATTCAAGAAGAACGTGGTTATATCACGGAGATTTTGACAAGAATTCGTTATTGGTTAGTCATGTTGCTATGACAATGAAATATTCATAAATTATTCCGTTGTTACACAATTAAACTACGTAATCCTCTATCGTGTACTTGGTCCGGAGGGGACACATAAAGAGGGCGTCGTAGGAACAACCGAGCAGCTATGTTCTATATTTTAATTATATTAGCACAAATAATGAGGTTTACAATGAGATGTTAAGTTGTTTACTTGACACTGTTCATGCTGAATGTTAAAGTATTCATTTGAATATTTTTAAACCGATATGTTTACGAGTGTTTGTCTGAATACATGTATAATGTCGTGGATCAACGGAGGAGACCCTCGGTACTTGGATTTCCGTTGAAGTATCATGTCTGTCGTAAAGAATATCAGATTTAAATTCAAAATGCACAATGGATTTAATTATTTGACATTTTTTAAGATACAACCAGTAATGTGACACAATTATCTGTATGTTTTCTGTTGTAGATAAGCACTATGTGACGGTAGACCAGCGATATAATGATCTCAAAGACGACTTCGTGTTTGCCCAGAGTTTGTAAGTATCATCGCATTTCTAGGCTATTAAGATTGACAGCCAATGTTTTTAACCTTCACCTTTAACCTTAGAAAATTAAAAATTTCATCATAGCTCTTTTGTGATCTTATTGAATTTTCACAGCGCTATCAATCTCTCCCAGCATACCCAACATGATATCGATGTATTGTGGCTGTTAAGGAACGACAGCTGTGGTAGAGATTGGAGCTTTTTAACCTTCACAGCTTCCTATAGAGCTATGGAGGTTAATAAGCTGTCTTTCAATTTCTATATTAACCTTTTCCAATCCACTTTATATTCATGGTGATTTTTTTTAAATAGCTACTTTCGTTATAATCTGAAATGTATCGAACCTAAGGCTGCTGCTTGGCAAACCTAAACGCAATGTGTTTTTTGCATTAATGACGTCACACTGTAATACAGTGTTCCATGCAATATTATAGTGTAGGACCGCTTACCAAACAGTTGCAAAATATAAACTTATAGAACGAAAGTGCATACTTTATTTAAGCCTTATTTGCATCCTAGCTTTAAAATTCAAGTATAACTTACAAAACATAGACAATTCGTGACATTATAAAATTTTTCAAGCGAACAGTATATAAAGAACGTTTTAGGGGAACGGCAATATTTTGGTGATCGGGTGGCGCTGTGGCCAATGTTTCTCCGTCCATCGTCCCGATGGTCTATATAAATATTAATCATCGTTATAATGTAGGACTACAGCTTTCAAACTTCTGTCGTCCGTGTCAACGATTGGATCATAGTACAAGTGTATGCTCAGTTTTCACATATTTCCCTGTAATTCGTAGATGTACTTGGAAGAATCCTTTACCAACCAACTAAAACACTACAACACGTAATCTCGGAAAACATACAAATAAAAAATGAAGACCTCATTCGTATGCATGGTTGGGTGTTCTGTGTCCATAAAATATCGGAAACGTTGATAACCGTTACTATCCCAGAAACATTTGTGGCAAATGCTGGCCAGTGTAACCGCGTTTATGTTTTGTATATCACATGCATATTTGTAACACGCATCATAGGAATTACAGTGTCTCCTCGAGAGATCGAGCTAATGACGAGCTGATGGAAGAGTTAGTAGGAAGCGGGTGATATTTTTCCGGATGGGATGAAAATGAGACATAACTATCGGGAAGAAATATTAATGCTATGTTTGTGGTATTGTACAACTCAATGTAACATTCAGGACACTAAACCAGTTAGGAGTCGAATCTGGGACATCTGAACTACAGAATTAGGAAGCAACCAGCTGAACTTAATCGTTGCCAGACACAGTTCAGTTCCGATACTACAGTAGATTTTGTGGTCGCACCTTTGCGTAATATTTAAAATTTTGTATAAATTTCGGTATTTTGAAGCAATTTGAGTTATGCAGACTTGTGTTGATATGGAGGTAAGCCTATCAAAAACAATACGAAATACCACGTTCATTTTGTTCGTCGATATCTACTTATATGTACTCCTGTTTGACAAAAATATTTCACTTTATGTATGTATGTTATCATGAAACCTTAGCTGCTGAATGATTTCTGAAATGGAAAAGTCTGCTTATCAAGTGACAATTTTTGTTTTCAAGCTATCATGAATTGATCTCAAGTTGTCAGATTTTTTCCTGAAAACTTCTATAGTTGATATTTCCATGTGATTTTATTTCATTTTGTTTTTCAGACTGAATTATGTAGAAGTAATCCTGAACATCATCGCTATATTCATGGTATGTACGGACAATTACACATATGTAGTAAGAGTTATTGCCCTTCGCCCATGGATCTCCTCCTAATAAACACGTCTGTAATAGTCTGTGGGTCACAAGGATCGATTTTTGTTGGACATTTTCATTAGGTTCTCTATGTATGTTCGGGAAAATTTAAGGTGAACCAAAATGGGGGTTGGAGTGTGTGTGTCTATTCATCTTCCAAGGGATTAAAGTGTTAAAAGATTACCTGCATTCTACATTTGACAAGGTCTCGGTATATGTTTTGGTTTTACGGGGTTTAACGTCCTTGCAATAGCCAAAATACAGGCCATATGTGGACAGGTGTTAAGGGAAACATCAAGAGAGGAAAAAGGGACAGGAAGAAAGAACGGTTAGGAAAGACGGAAAAAAACTCTATATTCTGAACATTGGTATAGGGACAGAAGATCTGTTTTCGTCTCTGCAATACTCGCTTAGTGCAATGAACCCACATTAACCACCTCCTCCATTATGCTGTGGGATACAAAGCCAGTATTATTAGACTCTCTGATGTCACCTTAGCAGAAGGCATCAGAGAAACAACCCCCGCGGACCTGCAGGGGGTGCCCCTCAGTTAGTCATCTCTTAGTAAACAAAGTCCCCGTCATCTACACGGGGTACAAGATCTCAGTAAGTTACACTTAGGATCGTTCACATACATATATATATATATTTTAATTTTAAGTTGTGCCCTGAATATATTAGTAAACAAAGATACATTTAATTGATCTTCATTCAACATTAATGTGAAATCCATTAACCATATAACAACTCGTTAGTTTTAATAAACCTAGTCGTCATTTTCTCATATCAGATCTTTACAAAGCCGACGTGTTTTACTCTCCGCTTGATTTCATTTCTAAAGAACTTTTATTGCCAACGAGTGCAGTCTAGCGGAGGGGAATGATATGGCAGATAATCCCGTCTATGAGAATGTCAAGGTCAAATGTCGTCATAACTTACACTTTTTCTTACTCTTTTAAAGTGGTTTTCCCAAGTTAAAACAAACACAATCAGTTATTGTCAATCCCACCGGCATCAACCAATGCAAAATGCTTCATTATTGCACACGGATTTGAAAGTATTTCATATAACAAAACAAAAGAGAGGAAAGGTTCTGTCCAAAAGACGGTCAAATCAGCTTGAAATATTGATTTGTTAAATAGTCAACCTGTTGTAAAGTGAAAATAAGTTTATTAGCGGTTCAGAAAGTTCTCTAAACACGACAACTCAAAATTGTAGCAGCAAAATCTCATAAATTAACAGATAATTTCGGCTACAAAGGGTGTCCTGATATATTCATTTCAGATTTCATCACTTCGTTAATCAGTGTCAAGTAATAATTAAAATGCGTATATGTCACTCCTGACTGACGTCTCTCGACAACCAAGGGTTCTGAGCGGGTATTCGATGTATAGTTTATTAACCTCTTGTTATGACGACGGAACTATTCTGCGTGTTAATCTGTAGCGGGCGGAGAGTATCTGATACAGGTATCGTGTGGTTCGCAGTCTTAACCCATTCACCTTGTAGTATTTACATCAGAACTTGCAGAGCCTTGATGTGCGATTCTTTAGTACCGTGACAAAGAACTTTATAATACCATTATGTACAACGTTATTCGGGAAAAAAACGAAACTGACAAGACAATTTAACTAATGTGATTCTCCCTTCACGATATGTTATTACCAAGCAAAGAACTAAATTCTGTACGAACTAATTTTGACCCCATTTACAAAATTAACCAAACGTATATAAGACCTGACTGTCGAGTATGGGAACATGCCTTATTAAGTGATTACCTTTGTTGTTGCTACGCAACAGCTCTTAGAAACGGGTCATATTACGGATCGATTTTACAATCACAAATTGTGTATGAATTTCAAAATAGGTTTACGTTGAATATTTGATTTATAGACACTTACATATGTTAATACCTTATTCATGTAAATATCAACAAACACGTTAAAGTTCAACAAACAACGAAGGCCGAGGCCGAATAATAGGTGATCATCGCTTACTCATAGAGAATCTTTTGAGAAATATGTACGGTTAGTGCAGATAATTGGTAGACAGTTAACACCTGGTGGTTATTTTATTCCAGACTGCTGGATATTGTAACAGGGATGTCTATTCTTACAATTAGTTTATTTTTTGTCGGTTTGTGGAATATTTTATTTTCTCTATGACGCGTAGACAATTTTAATCATATTTACGGTAGAATCTAATAAGCAGACTGTACTTGATCGTTAGAGAAGATTGCAAATGGTCACCGCAGAATCGGGGATTTTACAAATGTGTCTTCTACAACATAGACATTATTGACTTGTCCAACACTGATCTTCTGTCTCCATCACAATACTTGGAATCTCCCTTCATGTCTAGTTCCGCTTTCTGTCTTCTCTCATTTGGTGTCCGCTTAGACCCCATCCGCATATACACACAATTAAATTAACAGACAACCGAAAATATTTACACGTTCATGGTGATCGAAATTCTTGACGAACAGCATCTCGCTTTTATTGTACGTACTGAAGTAGTGTCTATTCCAAGCTTTTCATTGATCTTGCAGCATTACCGGAAGAGCCGCCATACACTGCCCTTGGCCTTCACAGTGACCGTTATGACGTTTTGGAAGACAGTGCTGTACTTCTTAATGTACGTCGTCTCCGACACTTACCGGAAGAACAATACAATGACGGAACACATCTTCCTTTTCTTAATTCCGAATGGTGTCTGGGTCGTCCTTCCGTTCCTGGTCATGGTCAAACTCTGGGGCATGCTTCTTCCGCCTAGTGCTTCTGACGGCAGCAGAGTTCCGAACAGCCGGAAACGAAAAACAAAAGCATCGTAGTTATGTAACATTTCATAGATATTTCATATCACGCTAGTCTTCCTCGGACTTAGATCATTATTCTTCGTTAAATGATCTTCTTAATACTGTTTCATGGAGGTTTAAAGCGTAAAGTAAGGAAATCTTACTTTCAAATCCAGTGACCGATAAGCTCAACACTTAATGAACTATTTGCGATAAATGTAACATAAAGCTTTAAGGAAGACAATGTGATGAAAATCAATGCAAAATATAAACAAATTACATGTGCTCAATTTTATATTTTATATAAAGTTTGATGTTAAATCAAAAAGTGTCTGTTTTTGTTTATAAACTCCCTTGATATATACGTTAAACATTAATTTCTTAGAATTAAGAAATTCAGCGACTAAGAAATCGGTTCGTTCAAAAAAGATGACCATACCTATTGATCAGTTCATCATATCTGGTGAAAAATACCCTCAATTTTCACTATGACATTATCAAACCGTTACAATTCATTAAGTTGTCTTGTGATCGTGAATGTACCTATACTCGTGTGAATGCAATCCACTTCGGAACTGAGATAATCGTCACCGTAATGTGGAATAGCTTAAAATCAAACTTTAGCTATTTTACAAAAAAAAAAAAAAAAAAAAATCGAAGCAATTTTTTTTCAACAAAACCCACGTGGTCGGGCAGGTGACCGCAGAATAGTAATATTTTTGAAATCATTGAGCGGTTGCCACTTAGCATTTATTGTCGATATGAATGCCACCTGAGGGACAGATAAATTGAAAGACGTGCGTTTGGACGGCATTTTTTTATGTCTCTCAGATTGCGTTCATTTTATCATTAAATGCAATCTGACGAGCAACCAGCTATTACTCACTACTTAATCAGTAAGAGACGACAGGTTTCGTTACCACGTTTAATTGACAAATAATTTAATTTTCACAACACATGCGAAACAAATCACTCTTGATGGCTCGGATAGAAGTGCATGAGGCGTCTTACTGTAGGAGGAAACCAGAGTTCCCAGAGAAACCCAAACCGTTGGGCAGGTAACACTATATATTTTATGTCCTTTCGGAAAATTGAACTCCGGACGGCAAGATTGAATTGGAATGCGTTTCCATTGCGCCATCCAGGCAATGAAGCCAATGAATTCTTCTTACCTAGACCATCGAAAGTCATCTTCTCTCTGTTAAATGCTTCACGTCTAGATAGATTGAAGTTGTTGTAAGAACTGGATAATCCAAAAATTATCTGCCTTCCATACTGACATGGGCTAGCCTTGGGTAATTCTCAATCAGAAACGAACCCATAATAGTCTTCTGTGATGTTCATCTTCATGCTGGTTACTTTAAATAAGTCATTTGATTCCTGATGGAAACTTAATAGACTGTCCTGGATGCTGTTGTTTACAGGAATCATGTTTGCACGAAACAATTCCTTCGCGACTTCGGTTTTGTCCTGAAAACAGTTAAACGTTTAAACATCAGTTTTTTTATCAGTTGCTAGATTTTGTCGCATCGTGATTTTCTAATTATTTTCCGGGTCATGGTAGAGGAGTGTCTATGATTTGCTGGTTTTTGTCCATTTGTGTGTTCATGTATCTAGAGAATTCCTACTTCCGGTTTGGTCGTCAACCACGTGACGATGATGAATTATATATTAAAAAATCATGTGCAGGTTTTTAATCAGAGTTAAAGGGATAGAGATGTTATGGGTTGTGAATTAGATTTAAAGAGAGAAAATTTTCTATAGATGAATATTGAATATGGAATTACTTGGATATATGATGATTGTTCGACAAAATAAGAGGGAACATCTGGAATGATCTGGTTACAAAATCAGAATTAAAACAAAGGATATTCCTTGTGTTTAAGACAGTTATGATCGTTTTGTATGTCCTCTCATTTTCATTTTGCGTTATTTTTATGTTTATTACACTACATGTCGTTGTTCATTTCTTTGCCAACACTTTCTTATTTGACTTATTTATCGTCATAAATATGTCTTTATATATTTTCAGTTTAGTGGCATCAGGATTGCGAATTAAACTGGGTCAACTAGAGAAAGAAACATGCAATCAGCTTGTAAGGCTGAGTGAAAAAAATATCTTTATTGTTGTTGGCTTAGGCAAGAAGTTTATAAAACGTTGTCAACATGTGATATGTCTTCAATCTTGTGTACATATATGGCAAAGCTCATAGTGTAGTGTTAGGTTGCTTAGGTTGCTAAGCAACAACGTGTTTTACTTTCCGAGCAAACACGGAGATTTGGTTTCATTGTTTTAGATTTACAACATATATTGAGACAGCTTTCCGAGCTTTAAACGGTTGCTGTGATATTGGAGTTCTGGTGTTTGTTACAATACAGATTTATGCCAGAATTTTTCAAAAGTAAAATTTATTCATTTTACCAGAATTAGAAAATATTTTCATGGCAGCGCGATGAGAATATGTGACAGAAAATCCTTATCCGGAGAAAAAACACATGTAGTGGGGTAAATGATCACATTAGGAATTTGAACTCTGCACGGTAGACTCGAGAAGAGAGAGAGTGCGCTATATCCATCACACAATCCGATCACGAAATTACACGAATATGCCCGAAAATACATATTACCACTTCATACAGTGCTATATCTGGAACCAACAAGTCGTAATTTCGAAATCCATGAGTAGTACGCGAAAATCGAATGAGACAATGAAATGACACAACACAGCAGGTGGATAGACGCTGCCAACTGATGATATTAACCCAGAGACGAAGATAAAAGGAAACAATGAAATGAACATGCGTAGATTTGAAATAGAATGTTCGTGAAAAATATATATTGCATTATGTGTCATCGTTAACTTACTGTCGGGCACGTGACACCATTCCTCATTAAAGAGACATACGAGAAATGATGGGTAGAATTACTGTGTCATTTTTCTATAATGCCTAGTAATCCAGTCGTAAATTGACCTGTCCACCATGCTTAGCAGACACCACACTAACACAAACCGGAAGTGTTGGCAGACATCTTGATATACATAATCATAATAATATTTTTAAGAGTCATGTCTCGTGAATAACGAACGCCCACACTGAAGGTATGTGGACGGTAACACAGGGTATATATGATATCGCTTGGTTTATCTGCAGACGAGTTCGGCTTATCTACTGGCGCGAGCGGTGACATATTCTCATTTATATTGGCAAAGACCGGATGTTAATGGTCACACTTAATGTTTTCCGAATTTGTTTGTATAATAGCAGTTTTTTCTTAAACGTGTCAGTTTTCAGTTAAGTCGGCCTAAACCTTTCATACTTATCTCATGCGTCATGTTTTAATAATAAAATTCACTTTTTAGAAAACCGACAGATCACAACATAAGTCTAACGAAATTATGCAATGCCAATATATCAAGGATTTAATTTTTTTTTTATTTACTCAAAAGAGAGAGAGGTGAAAGTTTTCTTTAAAAAAGTCGGTTTCAAGTGACAAAACATTTACTAACATGCATACTACGTAACATCGTCAAAACTTCGTTATACTGTTATCATCATCTCAGATACATTTTGACATCGTTAAGGGTTTTGGGATATGTACGGGGTATTTTGTATAGGTATTATCAAAGAAACTGGAAACCAGAAGAGTATTTTTATGTCGAAGATTCAACGTATATATCTCAAAGACAGAAAAATCCATTATACATTGCGTCAAGAACCTTCGTAAACATTTTTTTTAACTTGTAAAATCAATCGTAATTCTTTCATTTGCATTATTATTTCAGTATTAATGTATAACTATAATCAATATCGAAATGAAGTGAACTCTCGTAAAATTACTCGCATCGCAAGACTTTTACCAACTCGAAATGGATGCGCTTTGTTACCCCAGGCGGATTAAGCAGCAATTCCGTAGCTTCCATTAAACCAACGCTTACTCTAAGAAACTTGTCCTGCAGCAGTATCTCACTATCATTACTTAACGCGAGGAATTAAACCAATGTGTTTTAGGATTTTATTGCTAAATGCACATAAAACAAGGCCCTTGTGGCTTTAAAGGTTAGAGGGCAATTGATTGGAGAGTGGGTGGGGTGTATTTACGTTTGACCTTATAATTCGTGCACATGATCATCTCGTGTCAAGTACTCTCCAGAGAATTCGATACGCGCAAGTCAGGAATAAGTACCTGGAAAGTTTCATAATCAAATATTTAATTAGATTTACCCTTTCACATTCTATAGATGACGCTTTTTTCTTCTATAGCAGATGATAAATTTTACTTTCTAGCTATTGTCATGTACACAATTTGAGTTTTAAGTTTCGGAATTATTTTACAAATGGACCATTAAAGGGTCGAAGAGAAAGTTTTTCTATTAAGAGTCGCCGGCTGCATTAGATAAATAGAAAGTGTTTTTCTTTCCACGGATTTTAATGCTTCAGCGGGCAATACCGAAGCGCACCATTTATCTGGACTGGAAATTTGCGAAGGATATGAATTAAGCATACTCAAAATGTAGCCTGTTAAACGACGAACAGGTGTCAAAAAATATTTACAGATCCCAGATCGGCTGAATTTCAGAAATGAAGAATTTCTCTTCCGGCTTAATTTAGCTTGTCGCTGCCGTTAAATATATGAACGAAATATTACTTTTTGTCATATCTGTGAACTAGAGAAAGACGAGAAGGCGATTTTCCGGATGTGTTCTAATAATTCAAACTTGACAAGGTCTTCTCGATCAGAAGGCTAAAATGATGTAACACAGACTTTGTGTGTTTTCAAATGTGACAGAGGGATTGAAGAGTTCCTAGCAGGGTATATAATTACCCATGGTTAGGGGAGGTCCTTTAGGCCCCATCGATTTACTTAGTATCTCTTTTGTTCTGAATGTTGATTCTTGAAAGATCAATAAGCTTTGGGCCATGAAAACGCTATGTGCATACTATATCTTTAAGTATTCGTATTGATATGAACATATGTCCAAGGATCTGATCACCTTTTTTGATCAGAGAGAGGACAGATAGTAAGAGTATTTTAT